TTGTTACTAACGCTGCGATTAATAAATCCAAGTGTCCGATTTGCCTTATTACGAACATTTATGCATTGATCCTTTTGTTTTAAATTCTTACTAATCATAACTCCCAGATCCCTTTCGCAATCCGACTTCGCAATCACAACACCATCTAGCTCGTATCTTGTAACTCTATCATCATTACCTAACCTCAGAACTTTACATTTATCAGCATTAAACTGCATCTGCCAATCCTTTGACCATTTCAAAACCCTATCTAGATCAACTTGAAGTGATAGTGAGTCCTCCTCCGAATTAATTTCCCTACCGATTTTCGTATCATCGGCAAATTTGCAAATGTTGCTACTCAAACCTGAATCTAAATCATTTATATATATTATAAACAACAGAGGTCCCAGGACAGAGCCTTGAGGCACTCCACTTACAACATTTTCCCACTCTGACTTGATTCCATTTATACTAACTCTCTGTTTCCTTTGGTATAGCCATGCCCTAATCCAGCTTAATATAGCACCCCCAATACCATGAGACTCTATTTTTTTAATCAGTCTTTCATGTGGCACTGTATCAAAAGCTTTGCTAAAGTCAAGGTATACAACATCGCAATCCTTACCACTATCAACTGCCTCAACAATGCTAGAATAAAAAGATAACAAATTTGTTAAACATGAACGGCCATTTATAAAACCATGTTGCGACTCAATTATTAATTTATGTTTTTCAAGATGAAGACGAATTTTATTTGCTATTATAGATTCGAGTAACTTTCCCACAATAGACGTTAGGCTAATTGGTCGATAGTTAGACGCAAGTGATCTATCTCCTTTCTTAAAAACTGGTATCACATTAGCAACTTTCCAAAACTCTGGCACTCTGCCTGACTCTATTGATTTATTAAATATGGTTGACAGTGGGTCACAAAGCTCCTCTTTGCATTCTTTAAGCACCCTAGCAAACACTTCATCCGGCCCTGGGGATTTGTTTGGTTTGAGTTTTACTATTTGTTTAAGAACATCCTCCCTGGTAACTGCTAAACTCGTCAACCTGTCCTCGTCCCCACCCACATAGACTTGTTCGGCTGAAGGCATATTGTTAAGTTCCTCTTTAGTAAATACAGATACAAAATATTTATTAAAAATACTACTCATCTCTTCATCACTATCTGTTATTTGACCTGTCTCAGTTTTTAATGGACCTATCCTTTCCCTAGTCTTAGTACGATATAACTGAAAAAACCCTTTAGGATTTGTCTTTGCTTGCCCTGCTATGCGAACTTCATAGTTTCTTTTTGCTTTCCTTATCTCTTTTTTAACATTTCTAACCAGTTGTACGAATTCCTGTTCTAAAGTGACCTCCCCATTTTTAATCCTTTTGTACCAAGCTCTCTTTTTACCTATAAGGTTCTTCAAATTCTTTGTTATCCACTTTGGGTCATTAGTATACGATCTATTCAATTTGTATGGTATACTACGTTCCTGTGCTTTGTTTAGAATATTCTTAAATAAGTTATATATTGAATCCACATCGAAATCCCCATTTAAGTCACCTATCGCTGGGTTCATGTCTCGCTCCAAGACCGGCCCACACCCCATACCCAAGCCATTCCAATCAATTTGACCCAAAAAATTTTTTAGGCTATTAAAATCAGCTTTTCGAAAATCTGGCACTTTAACAGAATTTTCTCCTACTGGTCTATTCCATTCTATGCTAAATCTGATTTCTTTGTGATCACTGCTCCCTAGCTCACTCCCTATTTCGATGTCATTAATTTGCGTTTCCCTGTTAGTTAACACTAAATCTAAAATATTATTTTCCCGTGTTGGTTCCTTAATGTGTTGCGTAAGAAAGCAATCGTCAATTAATTCTAGAAAATCTTCTGCTTCACTATTCCCTGTTTTGTTCAACCAGTTTATTCCGCTAAAATTAAAGTCACCCATGACATAAATACTGTTAGATCTAGATGCTCTAGATATTTCATCCCATAGATGCTTTGCTTCCATTCTGTCTAAATTTGGTGGCCTATATATTACTCCTATTATAATATTATTAGCTTTTTCGTTTAATTCAATCCAAATAGTTTCTGTGTGTGGCTCTGTTTTGATTCCCTCTTTGAGACTACATTTCAAATTGTCCCTAACATATATGGCTACTCCACCTCCTCGTCTAATATATCTATCTGTGTGAAATAGTTTAAATCCATATATTTGATATTCAGCTAATAGTTCTCTATTTTCTACATTCATCCACGTTTCGGTAAGTGCAATAATATCTATTTTTTCTGTGCAGACAAGAGCATTTAATTCGTTAATTTTATTTCTTAGACTTCTACTGTTAGTGTAATATACCCTAAGTGAATTGTTATTTTGCGGACCTTCTCTTTCCCTGATCGTTTTGCCAATTCCTTTCTCCCACAAACACATACTTTTATTACCTCCTTCCTCCAAATCAATTCCCATACCTCTATCTACTAACAGTTTAAAACCCAAACAAATACCTCTAACCACTTCTTCTAGCGAGTTCGCAACAGCAACAACCCCAGCTCTCGATAGATGCACCCATCACGAGCATACATTTCATTTCTTCCATAGAAGTGTTCCCAGTTGTCTATGAAAGATATTGCATTTGATTTGCAATATCTTTCCAGCCGGCAATTGACACCAAGTGCCCTCGATATCCATTCATTTCCCACTCCCTTTCTTGGAAGAATGCCACATATGATCGGGACTCCTCCCTTGCTCCTAAAAGGGAGGAAGTGATAAGTGATAGGAAGGATAGCCGAGGCTATTTGAGCCACTTCCCCGACGGCAACTCGGATGGTAATCCGAGTAGTAGTAGTAGTAGTAATAGTCGTAGTAGTAGTAGTAGTCGTAGTAGTAGTAGTAGTAGTAGTAGTAGTAGTAGTAGTAGTAGTAGTAGTAGTAATAGTCGTAGTAGTAGTAGTAGTAGTAGTAGTAGTAGTAGTAGTAGTAGTCGTAGTAGTAGTAGTAGTAGTAGTAGTCGTAGTAGTAGTAGTAGTAGTAGTAGTCGTAGTAGTAGTAGTAGTAGTAGTAGTAGTCGTAGTAGTAGTAGTAGTAGTAGTAGTAGTAGTAGTAGTAGTAGTAGTAGTAGTAGTAGTAGTAGTCGTAGTAGTAGTCGTAGTCGTAGTAGTAGTCGTAGTCGTAGTCGTAGTAGTAGTAGTAGTAGTAGTAGTAGTAGTAGTAGTAGTAGTAGTAGTAGTAGTAGTAGTAGTAGTCGTAGTAGTAGTCGTAGTAGTAGTAGTATTCTGTGTACCAACGACTCACATTTGTCTGCTGCCGTTGCTTAACGACCTTCACACTTGGCATGCCAGCAACGATGATGTAGAGCTGGGACAGTTGCCATGACGGGGAGGAGGAAGGAAGGAAGGAAGGAAGGAAGGAAGGAAGGAAGGAAGGAAGGAAGGAAGGAAGGGAGGGAGGGAGGGAGGGGAAAGATATGGGGTGGGAGTTAAAGAGGAGTGTAGAGGGGAAGCAGCAGGAGGATGGGGCGGCCACCCAAGGGATAAGGTGGACACTGACCCCGGGACACAGGTGATGGCGGACCGGACATTCAGCACGAGAGATAAGGAAGGTTATCTTGAGATGATTTCGGGGCTTAGCGTCCCCGCGGCCCGGTCCTCGACCAGGCCTCCTTTTTGTTACATACGCCCGGGGAGCAGCCCGTAACAGCTGTCTAACTCCCAGGTACCAATTTACTGCTAGGTGAACAGGAGCATTAGGGGTGAAAGAAACTTTACCCATTTGTTTCCGCCTCCACCGGGGATCGAACCCAGAACCTCAGGACTACTAATGAGAAGCACTGTCCACTCTTACTATCAGGTAAGGAAGGAGTAGGGTAGAGACAACAGAGAATGGGGAAAGATAGGTAGGATAAATGGTAGGTGATGAGAGATAAGATAGAGGTAAGGAAGAGAGAGAGATAAGAGAGGGGGGTTGGGAGAGAGTCATGTAAAGCAAGTTAAATTAAAATAACAATAACGGAAAACTTACGGGTTATTCGTGCCCATGCCACCTCTTGCGTGGCTTAATCAGTCAACGGAGAGGGGGAGGGGAGGTATAGGTAACGAAATTTGTGGAAGACGGGTAAGAGGGAGTGAGGTAAGGTAGGGCGGGGGTGAAAGGTATGGTAGGGTCAGGGAGTCAGGTATAGGGAGCGGGTGGGGGGGGGGGAGGTCAGGTAACGGGGGAGGAGGGGAGGCAGGTGAACGTCCTATACGTCGACAGTATAACGGGGCAGCTTCGAGCAGCTGTGGACGCAGCTGCTGTCCGTGGACGCAGCTGCTCTTGTCTATGTTCTCGGTCGCCACAACACACCATATAAGCCACCACAACACACCATATAAGCCGCCACAACACACCATATAAGCCGCCACAACACACCATATAAGCCACCACAACACACCATATAAGCCGCCACAACACACCATATAAGCCACCACAACACACCATATAAGCCGCCACAACACACCATATAAGCCACCACAACACACCATATAAGCCGCCACAACACACCATATAAGCCACCACAACACACCATATAAGCCACCACAACACACCATATAAGCCGCCACAACACACCATATAAGCCACCACAACACACCATATAAGCCACCACATCATACCATATAAGTCTACACCCACTACAGAAACCAGTTAACCCGCTACAGAAACCAGCTACACCCACTACAGAAACCAGTTAACCCGCTACAGAAACCAGCTACACCCACTACAGAAACCAGTTAACCCGCTACAGAAACCAGCCTTAATAAACCTCCAGGGTTTGAAAGGCCTAATAACCTTCCAGAGGTTGATAGGCCTTAATAATCCTTCAGAGGTTGATAGACCTTAATAACCCCCCTAAGGCTGACAGACCTTATTCCCAACAGCAAACAAAGCCCTTCTCTCAATAAACCACGGAGTTATTGACCCCTATATCAACTACTCGGCCCGTAAATTCAGAGATTAAAACCATCACCTTGGTCTGTTTACCTTTGCAGCACTCAGGGTTACAACATTCTATCCTGATGTATAAGAAGATCTGGGTGGCTAACTCCAACAAGGACGGTGGCCTGGGCCACCTCAGGCCGGGTTTAGCTAAGTCGTCCCTGGAGCTGGTGAGAGTCGTCTTACTGCACCTGAGGGTTGGAGGTTACTGATCTCTTTGCTGAAGACATCACAGCAGGCGACTTAATTATATAATTCGTATTATATTAAAGTTGAATACTACTACAAAAATATTTTGTTTGTCTTTGCAATATTAATACTATACAATACATTTCGATATAGAAATGAAAGCCTTATTCAAATTTTTATTTAATTCATAAATGAAATAAATATTGTATGTAAGATTTTTAAGATTTATAAAAGTAGATAAAGTGTTTTTATTATTTGTGGAAAACATTTAAATGATAAGTTAAATTTATTGCAAGTTATATTAAATACAATTTTATATTAAAAAAAAAATGGATTCATACGCTGAACGGGAACACGATTGTTTGTGCAAACCTAAGAATACCTTAGTCGCCCTTGATAGTGGCCAGTTAAGACAGAGATACACACCACAGTTGCCGAGTGGAGAGACAGGGATATATACACCGAGAGGTATAAGGCGCAGCTGTGATCCTCTCACACGTAGCTTCGAACCCTCATCACGGTCCTTGTGGGTTTGTTCTCCGAGAGGTATACTCAGCTTCTCGGTGTATATATACTGAGAGTATCCCAAAGACCTGGACTATGTTTAGTATGCTTGCTGGTTTCCGTAGCGGGTGTAGCTGGTTTATGTAGCGGGTTAACTGGTTTCTGTAGCGGGTGTAGCGGGTCCGTCTAATTACCACAAGCTACCACAAGCTACACAAGCTTCAGAAAGCTTCCTGGCAATACGTTAGTAATGAATAAATATGATATGTTAGGTTAGGCTGACCTAACCTAACCTAACCTAACCTATCCTAACCTATCCTAACCTAACCTAACCTAACCTAACTTAATCAAACCTAACCTAACCTAACCGACGCTTGGATCGTCGACTTGATTTGGCGTCACCAGCTTTTTATTTTCGTCTAATTTCTTTATAAAAAGATACTTTTTCAGATTAAAATTATGTTTTTTCGTGTTGTACATTCAGCACCAACATTATAATGAGTAAATATATCATATTTATTCATTACTAACGTATTGCCAGGAAGCTTTCTGAAGTTTGTGTAGTTTGTGGTAGCTTGTGGTAATTAGACGGACCGAGCCCAAGTGAACTTTCTTTGACCTGAACGTTTAAAGTACAGTTCAAAATGATCACAGCCACAGACCACGGCTGTGTTCTCACAACCTCGAACGTACGACTCAAAATAAGGTCTTCCATCATCATTGTTAAAACATTGTTAAAACATTGTTAAAACTACACCACAGTCTCCGTGGTGTAGTGGTAAGACACTCGCCTGGCGTTCCGCGAGCGCTATGTCATGGGTTCGTATCCTGGCCGGGGAGGATTTACTGGGCGCAATTCCTTAACTGTAGCCTCTGTTTAACGCAACAGTAAAATGTGTACTTGGATGAAAAAACGATTCTTCGCGGCCGGGGATCGTATTCCAGGGACCATAGGATTAAGGACTTGCCCGAAACGCTACGTACAAGAATGTAACAACTCTTGTATATATCTCAAAAAAAAAAAAAAAAAAAAAAAAAAAAAAAAATGGACTGCCGTCAACGTCTATATATACCACCAGTGCGGGTGTGTTGGTATGTGGGTAGGTCCCACACCCATCCTGTCCGCCCACACCCCCCTTACACATGCCCCAGGCCCCTACAAGCAGAGACAAGCAGGGACAAGCAGACAGAGACAAGCAGGGACAGGCAGACAGGCAGACACAGACCAACAAACACAGATCGACAGATACAGACCCGGATACCCATTCAAGAAATAGAAATATGCATGTTTTGAAAAATCTTGTTTTGCTTTTAAAATTCCGTTTTATCAGCTTATCTACTGAGGTTGATATCCGCGGTCTCTTGACGGTTTAATCTAAGAAATGTTGTTTGCGTCGTCGTATACTTGCGTCAGGCGTGTAGTTGCGTCGTCGTATACTTGCGTCAGGCGTGTAGTTGCGTCGTCGTATAGTTGCGTCAGGCGTGTAGTTGCGTCGTCGTATACTTGCGTCAGGCGTGTAGTTGCGTCGTCGTATACTTGCGTCAGGCGTGTAGTTGCGTCGTCGTATAGTTGCGTCAGGCGTGTAGTTGCGTCGTCGTATAGTTGCGTCAGGCGTGTAGTTGCGTCGTCGTATAGCTGCGTCAGGCGTGTAGTTGCGTCGTCGTATAGTTGCGTCAGGCGTGTATTTGCGTCGTCGTATAGTTGCGTCGTCGTATAGCTGCGTCAGGCGTGTAGTTGCGTCGTCGTATAGTTGCGTCAGGCGTGTAGTTGCGTCGTCGTATAGCTGCGTCAGGCGTGTAGTTGCGTCGTCGTATAGTTGCGTCAGGCGTGTAGTTGCGTCGTCGTATAGTTGCGTCAGGCGTGTAGTTGCGTCGTCGTATAGCTGCGTCAGGCGTGTAGTTGCGTCGTCGTATAGTTGCGTCAGGCGTGTAGTTGCGTCGTCGTATAGTTGCGTCAGGCGTGTAGTTGCGTCGTCGTATAGTTGAGTCAGGCGTGTAGTTGCGTCGTCGTATAGTTGCGTCAGGCGTGTAGTTGCGTCGTCGTATAGTTGCGTCGTCGTATAGTTGCGTCGTCGTATAGTTGCGTCGTCGTATAGTTGCGTCGTCGTATAGTTGCGTCGTCGTATAGTTGCGTCGTCGTATAGTTGCGTCGTCGTATGGTTCCGTCAGGCATATACAAACAGTCTAATGTGTTTACTACCTAGGCAACACGGTATGTCAGAGTGTGAGCGGGGAGGTGATGGGCGCAGAGGGGTGCCACCCTGTCACCCTGGCACTCTGTCACCCTGGCACCCTGTCCAGGGGCAGTCTAGGCTCTAACACCTGTACCAGCTGGAACATTGTGACGTCACACTCCTCCACACCATCAGAATTCCAAGGAGCACGGGACTGGCCAGCTGGGACAAGAAGGATGGGGGGAGGATTTGGGAAAACTTGAAAAAGGATTGTGGTATGAGGAAAAGGAGGAGGTTACAGGTAAGTGGCCCAACCACTTTGAGTTTTTTTGTGATGAGAAGTGATGGGTGAATGTGGTTTTTTTCGCTCTTTGTTTTCTCACCTCCGTGGATGAGCTGTGGGTGAGTGGGCAGAGTGCCAGTGGTGGGTGATTGAGTAGTCACCCGCCGCCCTTCCTGGAGGGCTGTGATTGGTTAAGTTCACGGTGACGTCATACTCACGTCTGGAAGGATGTGGTAAACTGTTGTCACCTTAAATGAGGAAGGATGTTGAGAACTATGACAATATTCCTCAAAGTTTTCCTTGTTTTTTCTACGCTGGTATCTAGACCAGGGATATATATATATATATATATATATATATATATATATATATATATATATATATATATATATATATATATATATATATATATATATATATATATATTAGAGATTCATAATGGGCCAATAGGCCTCCTGCAGTTGCCTTTGTTCTTATGTTCTTATGTTCTTATGAATGTTGCCAAATTTTCAACATAACTTTTCTTTTGTATCATAGTGGTCTACTCCCGGGCACCTATCTTACTACTAGGTGGACAGAAGCATCAGGTGAATGAAAACATGCCCAAGTCATTTCTGCCTTGCTCCGCAATTGAATCCGGGTCCCCCGGTTGTGAGCCCAGGATGTAGACCATTGTGACGAAAATAACATGTTTCCTGGCGGACTCCAGAGGACGTTCAACAGGTCACCTACGCCAGACGCTTTGGATATTATGCAGCCGAGAAACAGGTCATATAATGTCCCTTAAGGGGGCATTAGGTTCCAAAAATGCAATAAATGAAAACTCGTTCGATTTCAATCAAACTTTTTTGACAAGTTCTATATAAAAAGTGTTTTATCTGGTCCAAGTTTCAGCATCGTAGCATAAATAGGAAGGGAGAAAAAAAATATTGAAGTAGTTGTGAAAATTATGCCAAAATGGTCAAAATCGATTATCAATCAAAAGTGTCAACTGAAATCATAGCTATGACTCTTTGCTATCACAATAGCATATATTAAACAAATATTATAATTAGTTTAATTGGAAAAAAATTTGAAGAATTTTTTTTTTTTCAAATTTTTTTTTTTTTTTTTTCATTTTTTTTTTCGGGCGATTTGCATCAAACTTACACACCTGACTGTACGTAAGCCTATCTGTAAGGATGCCAATTTTGGAGAAAATTGGTTGATGTCAACCTCAGCCAGAGATTTTAGAACCTTAGACTTTATTCTTTTTTCTTTTTTTTCAATTGACACAAACGTTTACAAAACTGATTTATTTTTTATTCAATTTACATGAAACTTACACAGTATATGTGGAGGGCATGTCTCTACATTTGCTAGTTTTCATTTTTCTCTTAAGTTCATTTATTGATTTTATAATAGCAATAAACATGCCATATTTGCATAATTTTGGGGGGGAACTTTGAACATTTGTATTAGGAAAACTAAAGATGTTTTGGAAATTCTATATCTCAAGGTCCTTTATTATATGCTAATGTGTCAGAAAAGTGTCACGGATTAATAATATCTGAAACGTGTGTTCTGAAGTGTAGACTTGAAAATGTGTAAAAAACGTTGAAAAAAAAAATCTCCCTTTCTATTTACGCTGCAGTACTGAAACTTGGGACAATTTCAGCACTTTTCATATACAACTAGTCAAATAATATTGGTTGACATTGAACAACTTTTATATATATATATATATATATATATATATATATATATATATATATATATATATATATATATATATATATATATATATATATATATATATATATATATTTCTTGATGCTTCTATATTGGAGCGGAGTTATTGAGGTGGGTAGAATATAGTTGTGCAATAATTGGCTGTTGATTGCTGGTGTTGACTTCTTGATGTGTAGTGCCTCGCAAACGTCAAGCCGCCTGCTATCGCTGTATCTATCGATGATTTCTGTGTTGTTTACTAGGATTTCTCTGGCGATGGTTTGGTTGTGGGAAGAGATATATATATATCTCTTCCCACACTTATATATATATACTTATATATATATATATATATATATATATATACTTATATATATATATATATATATATATATATATATATATATATATATATATATATAGGCTATATATATATATATATAGGCTTCCTGTCCCCCGACAAAACTAATTATTACTAGATCTGTTGACTGTTTTACCACCCAAGATGGCGGCGTAAACATGAGTCACGTGACCGCCCTGCCGCCTAATATGGAAGGAAGAACACGTTGGTGACAACTCACAAACAAGGACATGATTACCCTCAACACACAAGGTAACTTTGAAGTATTAGTATGTAGTTAACACACTTACCTGAGGGCGAACTGCTGTGACTCTCCACACGGTGAAGAGGAGCTACGTCTGGAGGCTGAGGTGTAGGATCTCCCTGGAGGCTCAGGTGTAGGATGTCACTGGAGGCCTAGGTGTAGGATGTCACTGGATGGCACTGTAATGGAGGTAGCGGGTGATGGTGAGCTTGTTACTGCGGCACGGGGCAGTTTGGTCTTGTCCTGTATGGTGTCCTCCCTCTCGCATTATTCCCCGCACACATCGTGCAACCTTCATCTCAATACGATTCAATACGATCATAAGAGAGTTTGAAAAGGTACAGAAGTTTGCAACAAGGCTCATCTCAGAATTACGAGGGATAGGGTATGAAGAAAGACTGAAAGAACTGGACCTAACGTCGCTAGAAAAGAAAAGAGAAGAGAGAGAGAGAGAGAGAGAGAGAGAGAGAGAGAGAGAGAGAGAGAGAGAGAGAGAGAGAGAGAGAGAGAGAGAGAGAGAGAGAGAGAGAGCAGAAACATTATTGAAATATAAAACTCTTAGATGGTATTCACAGATCGGAAAAAAAATTATATTGAAAATCAGTACAAACTAGGATTTGAATCTTGAGACACAGATGAGCCATAGTGATGTTAGAGTGTTCTTTTAGCGTAACTGTTGTAGGGAAATTAAATGAACTAACTCGGCAGATTGCAGAAGCAAACTCAATTCATGATTTAAAAAATGGATATGATGGAGTCACTTCATTAGACAACCGGTAGCTGGAAAGGCAGGGTCTAGGAGCTGAAGCTCAGTTCTACAAATTTAGAGATAACACCATCAATAGTGTCCAAGAAATGTGTAAGTACTTCATTCATAATGATGTGCTGCCCGGAATCTTAGCGAAGTATCCAAAATTTGCTTACTGTAGGTAATGCATGCACATGACTGTAAAGCTGCCGCCCAGTTGGGTGGGTGTGGAGCACATGACTGTAAAGCTGCCGCCCAGTTGGGTGGGTGTGGAGCACATGACTGTAAAGCTGCCGCCCAGTTGGGTGGGTGTGGAGCACATGACTGTAAAGCTGCCGCCCAGTTGGGTGGGTGTGGAGCACATGACTGTAAAGCTGCCGCCCAGTTGGGTGGGTGTGCAGCAAGACTAGTAACTGTGCGACTCATCATAGATGTAAAGTGCCTTGTATAGTGACTGTTGTGAGCCTCTTGTTGATCACTTGTGACACAAAAGATTATTGATGTGTGTATTTGTATGGGTGATTAAATATGTATGTGTATGTATATATGTATACGTATATATATATATATATATATATATATATATATATATATATATATATATATATATATATATATATATATATATATATATATATATATATATATATGTACATATATGTATGAGAGTGTGTACATGTATATATAACATTAATAATTGTGTAACTAGCGTCAAAAGATTGTTATTTACTTAGCTAAACGAACTAGAGGGTCAGTTCCTGAACCGAGTATGTGCCTCTGTAATCCTTTACACCACCGCCCACGGGATAGGTATGGGGTGCATAATAAAGAAAGAAATTGAATTCTACAAATTGGTGAGTACACACACACGCGCGCGCGATGACGACAGCCATTATAAGGAAAAAACGTGAGGGATAATAAAGCTACGCAGGCGATGAGTCACAATAACGTGGCTGAAGTATGTTGACCAGACCACACACTAGAAGTTGAAGGGACGACGACATTTCGGTCCGTCCTGGACCATTCTCACAATCGACTTGAGAATGGTCCAGGACGGACCGAAACGTCGTCGTCCCTTCAACTTCTAGTGTGTGGTCTGGTCAACATAATAAAGATACCATGCAGTAAAGGGAACTTTACCAAAATTATAAAATCTGTATGACAAGCTAACTGAAAAAAGAGAAGCAGAGACAAAGTGACAAGAAGCTATGAACGTTGTCACCAAGAATGGTGAGAAGATGAGTACCAATCCCCAGAGAGAAAGGAACATAATTAAGAAATCTACATTGTTTAGTACAGAGTTCCTCAGTGCAGAAAATGTCGAGCTGAGTGGCATGGATAAGATAGAGGGACTGCATGACCCCGGAAGAAACATTGCTATAAATAGACATGTAAGTGTAAGTCGGCAGGCAGAGAAATGGCGTAAAGTGAGAGTGGTAAACACACAACAAGAACCGAACCTGCTGTACTATTGTATCACGAAGAAGATACCGGCCAACGACAAGGCGTCCAGGCTATACACAAGAGGTGAAGGACAGAAAATAACAAGGAATATGTACAACGTACAAGGAATATGTACATTGTACAAGGAATATGTACGACGTACAAGGAATATGTACACCGTACAAGGAATATGTACACCGTACAAGGAATATGTACAACGTACAAGGAATATGTACACCGTACAAGGAATATATACAACGAAATATTTCTAGAAGTTTACAGAACTGACTAGGAGCTGTCACACAGTAGTAGGACCATTGTGCAACTAACCAACAGGATTAGAAACATCGACAGAACAGCAGAGGAAGTGAAGAGCGCAATTAGAGAAACTAAGGAGACAGAAGTATCAAGACTTGATCGGGAGCCGGTCGGCCGAGCAGACAGCACGCTGGACTTGTGATCCTGTAGTCCTGGGTTCGATCCCAGGCGCCGGCGAGAAACAATGGGCAGAGTTTCTTTCACCCTATGCCCCTGTTACCTAGCAGTAAAATAGGTAACTGGGTGTTAGTCAGCTGTCACGGGCTGCTTCCTGGGGGTGGAGGCTTAGTCGAGGACCGGGCCGCGGGGACACTAAAAGCCCCGAAATCATCTCAAGATAACGTGAAGAAGAAGATCTCCCCAACAATCATAAAGGAGGCCTCTGAAGGGCTGAACAAGCGAAGATCTACATCATCCCAAAAGAATGGAAGCCAACCAATATTGTATCAATATTCAAGAAAGCAAATAGGCACGAGAAGCCCCTAACTACAGAGCGGTGTAACTCATGCATTCCTTACACAGTAGCAGAGAGGCTTATCAGGAGATTAGTGGGTCACGTAGACGGCACATATCTTGTCTTCAAACACGTACATGGCTTCAGAGAAGGTAAATCATGTATAACAGCGATAAAGCCGATAATGGAAGGATGGTCAGAGTGTGGCTTTGATACAACTGACGCACAAACTGGAGAATCAAGCGAAGTGGGAGGGTGCTAAATTGGATTAGAGAGTAACTCTCCGATAGGAAACAAAGTGTCATGGTGAGAGGAAAAATCTCAAGAATGAAAAGGTGACGGGAAAATACCGGACTGGCATAGAAAGTAGGGACAGAAAATGTCAACATGTAGGGAAGTGGGTTCTTGTAGGCTTCCTCTATTCTTGGTATATATAAATGGGACTCCCGGAAGCAACCACCAGTCAGAGCTTCAACAGAAAAGTATAACAGCAATATAACGTTGGATATAATATATGCACGAGGCGCGTAAGCTACGATCAAGGCGAGGACCTAGAGCTAAATCTCGACCCTCCCCCCCCCACCCCCCGGCCACCGTAGACACAGCTAGGTAAACACACACACTTCACCTAAGGGACTCAACAGTACAGTCAAATAACACTTGATTTAAATGTTTTATTTATATTTTACATTATAGTTTTGTTATTTATAAGCAGAGTGTTTAGATCTGACAAGTTTACTGTAACACGTGTTGCTTGTCGACACTAATATATCACAGTAAGGCTGCCAACGATTTACAAAACATTTGTCTGGGTAATTATACATATTACCGACTAGTTATATTGTATGTTTATATAATATAATGAATTCTACTATTTACTTAGGGAATGTAACTTTTATTGTCATGATTTGTCAGGGATGGAAATGTATTTTTATGAGTTATTAAGTACGTAATATGAAATTACTCTCGTTAGATTTTGTTTTAGAGTCGGTTTCTCCATGTACATACTTTTGTACTGTCTAGTTAATGCTGATTCATTTGTTCGATAATTTTAGACTTGAACGCTTTCAACACAAGTTTGTCAAGGTCAGCGGCCAGCCGTGTTTACATGTGACGTCACACCTGTTACACTGGCTATTGATTTGTGGAGAGCCGCCCGGGCTTTGTTTACCCGGCACTGCAGCGAGCTGTATGGTGAACTTGTTGCACGTGATGCTGCCAGATAAGTTGGGGTGAGGGAAGGAGATAAGGGAGGGAGCTTAGAGGTGGTGAGGGAAAGATGAGGCTTGGAGGAGTTGGGATGAGGGACGAGGCTAGGGAAGGAGAGGCTACAGAAATGGCGATTGGTTAGGTGTTGGACTTCAGGCCTATCAACCACTGGAGGGTTACTATAGGCACCACAATGGCTTAATGACCAAGCAGTAAGTATACTTTAGCCCTGAGCATGTTAAGGGCTGAGATATACTCAGTATCTATACACCGAGGACTTCCCCGGTGATGATAATGGCCATATGGCGCCTGATACTGATAATTTGCGGGGCCGAGTCATTAAATTGTCAGATGGACTCTTGTTCACCCAGTGACTCACTCCTCCCTCACCATAACTATCAAAACACTCGCCTCATTCACCACTCTCCAGAACCAATTATTGCTAGCAATGCAACGCGTGTTACTACCAATAAGTATAGAAAGCTCTACATTCGTTAGTTCTCCGCAATTATGTAATTATTACTGCCATTTAATAAATAATTTTCTATGTTCGGGTTATCCGAAACAAGTTTATGAAAACCGTCAAAGGGCTCTTCAACATTTCCAGTATGCTTAACGATCTGCTAACATATTGTGCAGTCCGGTACGATAGTCCTACGTGGGGCTCTTAGAGCCAGTCCCACGCAGACTGTGGACACCGGGGAGCTCACCCAAGGTATAAACACGGCGGGGAAACACCACACAGACACAAGCTGAAGGTGTAGGTGTGGCGGGAAGATGGTAGGCACCGCGCGCGTCTACCCTCCACTAGGATGCCTTTTCACCTGCCATCCCCCACCTGCTCCCGGTATCCTTTGCTCTATCCTTCCCTCGCAGAAAACGTCACATAGAAAATGAACATTCTATGTTCCTTCGGTCATAGAAAGTGGACACTCCTTTACGCCGTCATTGAAAATGGACAATCCTGACTCCCTCTGTAACAGCAAATGGACAATTATGTTTTCACCCTCCACAGAAAATAGTGAATGATTTGATGACCAAACCACACATCAGAAGATGGAGAAACGGCTACGTTTCGGTCCGTCCTGGACCATTATACAGTCGTGTGTCTGCATAGTGAATGACTTACTAGTCCATATAAATGATCAACAGGACAAGTCCTTAATCCTAATTTTCACAGACACACATCCCCAGGAAGCAGCCCATAGCAGCTGTCTAACTCCCAGGTACCTATTTACTGCTAGGTGAATAGGGGCATCAGGGTGAAATAAACTCCATTTATTTCGCCTCCGCAGGGGGATCGAACCCGAACCCTTAGGTCTAGGAACCCCGAGCGCTGCCCACTCAGCCGTAAGGCCCCCTCCAACCGTCCCCAGGATTTAACCCCACAACAGTTGGCTACTTTCCTGGTACCTATTTACTGGTAGGTGAACAAAAGCATTAGGCGATAGGAAATGTGCCTAGGCATATCTGTCACGGCCGGGATTCGAACCCGGGATTCCCGACTGCGAGTCGAAAACGAGCCCAATTGTACTGAGAGGTGCACTTGCCAGCAACCGCCGGCTAGCTAGCACTTATTTGTCTTTTCATTTCCCCTCACTCTTCTTACAGGAGCTCAGCACTTTAAACTCATTCCTTGAAGCAGAACACTCATTCTTGTCTGACGTAAGACACTTAAGAGTCAGTCCTTCAAGATGTCTGACGCACCGTATCCTTGACGTCCCTCTTCAATGCTTCAGTAATTCTATATGCCTGGCGGGAGATGTGATTCAGTTTTAGAGCGTCTATCTCCAGGTACACCGTGGTCATTATCGATCACTTCACGGCATTTGGGCTACGATCAAACGTAAAATGTAATAACATTGCCAATTTGCCCATGGTCACCTATCCTGCAGTCGTTCTTAAGCCTTTTTGATGATGCAGTCAAATGGCGTTCTCCTGGCAAAACGTCTGTCATCTTCCCTCAGAGATGCCTCTCTTTTCGTTATTCTTCTTCAACGTGGGTGTTTATGTGGCTACCCTGAACTACATGTGGTCCCGGGTTCGGGTTCCTGTGGTCCCGGGTTCGATCCCGGGCGCCGGGGAGAAACAATGGGCAGAGTTTCTTTCACCCTATGCCCCTGTTACCTAGCAGTAAAATAGGTACCTGGGTGTTAGTCAGCTGTCACGGGCTGCTTCCTGGGGGTGGAGGCCTGGTCGAAGACCGGGCCGCGGGGACACTAAAAAGCCCCGAAATCATCTCAAGATATAACCTCAAGATACATGAAGGATCACAGAGCACGTGATGCTGAGATCCCCATCTCCCAGGATGGGCCAAAATTCGTAACATACAAGCCTAAGATACAGGGGCATCATGGGGGTTTTGTCTCCACCAGTCCTCTCCCTCGCATCCCAGTTACAACCTCGCTCCTGTGCCAGGTAAATCTACTACGGGCTCACCATAGCCCGTGCTACTTGTAACTTTTTGTTCTGAGTAGCTGAATCTAAAACAACAACAGCAACTCTCCCTCGTCCCTGGCAGGGACCTCTAGCCCTTGCACGCCCACGGTCCTCGCCAGATTACATCTGTACCTGCTCATGCCAACCAAAGTGATAACAAAGTCATAGTTTATCAGTGTCAATTGTATTCTTTAGATGCTTCGTCACCTGATCTGGATGGTGATGTTAGCGGTGTTTTATCATTAATTAATACATAAACAGATCATATCTGTACTGAATCTGTAATAATATTTATGAAGACAATATTTGGCTACAACTCTTTTACTGAGTACACACACAACTCGGGGGTTGTTTTGCTTCACGCAATTTGTGGTTTGAGGGAGGGTGAGGCAGTATGAATTGAAATTGAAATAAGTTTATTGAGATAAAATATACACAAAGGGATGAGGTAGCTCAAGCTATTCACTAAACATTCTGAGTGATAAACATATATATTTCTTCCTTTACACATGTAGTATGTTACCAGACGTACACACAAATACTTTTATTACTAGGTATATAGACAATTTGCAAGAGATATTCAAACAATTTAACAAAAGTTTACAATCTTGGTGCAAAACTGATATATCACTCCAAGGCAGTATGAGGGAGGTGACGTGTGCAGGCCTGCAGGGTCCTCGGGTACATGGACGAGGATAACAAAGTATTGTATACAAATATTGGCCGTATTTGTCGGCGCATAAGACGCACCTCCGCTGAAGACTCACCCATATTTTACAAGATGGATATCTTGTGGAAAATTTATTTTGTATTATGAATCATCACGAATGTATTGGAAGTGATTTTGAAGCCCAGCTTCCCTATTATCATGTTGCTTCGCGCTGGCTACAACCTCGAGCTTAAACTTGGTGTTATAACATTACGAGCTTTTAGCCAGGCAATACTGCACACGTTGGGAGATGAGAGACTACACATTACCACTAATGCTAGTAACTAATGGGCGGATAGAGATCACTACAGCAAAAAGTAAGGCTCTCCCCCCTCACCCTCCAGCTTATACTGCCGGCCGAATAATACGTATATAGGGGCCGCATGACAAATGCATCAACGGCACGATAATGTCAGAACGAAGGGGGGTAGAAATAGCCTAAGCTACTCTATCCCTTTGAGATGTGTTTCAAAACGATTCTATGAGTACTCCGTTTTTTTTTAATCTACCTTTTGTTTTCCATGTTGAATGAAAGCTGTTTTAATTAGTCCTTGAGGCTTGGCCCAGGAAGTAGGACAAGGTGAGGCCGGAGAGAAGCATTTGGCCGCCTTGCAGCAATCTCCGTGAGTCACTGAAATACACAGCACCAACAAGGACTCACAATCAGGGATCCCGAGTGCAACAGAAATGTTTGGGCACATTTGCTTTCGCTTAATTCTTCTGTTCACCTAGCAGTAAATAGGTATCCTGGAGTTATCAACTACTGAGGGGTGGCATCCTGAGGAAGGTCAACTGGTCGACCTTGGGACGACCTACATACAAGCCTAAGGTATATATATATATATCTGTATATATATGTACATCTGATTGGGACCTGAAAGCCATGGACGTCGATCTTGCTATATGGGAGACACTGGCTGCAGACCGTTCAGCCTGGAGGCAGTCTGTTCAAAGAGGTCTCTCCAAGTTCGAGGAGTCACTTGCCAAGGAATCGGAGGCAAAGAGACAGAAGGAAAGCCGGTAACCAGGAAGACAGACCAGAATCGGACTTCGTTTGTGCTCGGTGTGGGATGGACTGCCACTCTCGGATTGGCCTCATCAGTCACACCAGATGCTGCACCAGGATTGACAACTAGGGCGCAACTCCATAGTCTCCCGAGACTGAAGGATGCCTACTATATATACATCTGATTGAGTCAACTACTTTAAAAAAAAATAGTCGGCGACAGGAAGCTTGTATATATATATATGTATGTATATATATATATATATATATATATATATATATATATATATATATATATATATATATATATATATATATATATATATATATATATATATATATATATATATATATATATATATTGGTGTATACTGGCAGCAGGTTTTCTTTCAAACATGTTTCATTGAATATGACCACATATTCTGTATTTATTATTTTCTGGTTTAGGGCTTCTATCCCTCTAACTGTTTTCTTAGCATCAGGGCTTAGTTGAAATAGGAGTTCTCCAAAACTCATTTTCGTACTTTTAAGGTGAAGAAAAGAAGTGATTTACTATAGAGTGTATTACACTTATTTATACAATTTGCACAACGTTTCGAACCTCCATGGTTCATTCTCAAGTGAACAGATCTTACAATGCTGGTTGATTTTATACCCGCACTGGGTATAAAGACTATTTTTTTTAAAGTAGTTGACTCAATCAAATGTTTCTATTTTAATTATGGAATGAAAGGAGTATAAGAGAACAGCATCTATTTCTCGCTACGTCTTAACCACACATAGAAGTATGATATAAGTCAATCTTATGATGTGCGAAGCAATACAGTAAGAGCAGCAAGGTGTGTACTCACCTAGTTGTGCTTGCGGGGGTTGAGCTCTGGCTCTTTGGTCCCGCCTCTCAACCGTCAATCAACAGGTGTACAGGTTCCTGAGCCTACTGGGCTCTATCATATCTACACTTGAAACTGTGTATGGAGTCAGCCTCCACCACATCACTTACTAATGCATTCCATTTGTCAACCACTCTGACACTAAAAAAGTTCTTTCTAATATCTCTGTGGCTCATTTGGGCACTCAGTTTCCACCTGTGTCCCCTTGTTCGCGTCCCACCAGTGTTGAATAGTTTATCCTTGTTTACCCGGTCGATTCCTCTGAGGATTTTGTAGGTTGTGATCATGTCTCCCCTTACTCTTCTGTCTTCCAGTGACGTAAGGTGCATTTCCCGCAGCCTTTCCTCGTAACTCATGCTTCTTAGTTCTGGGACTAGTCTAGTGGCATACCTTTGGACTTTTTCCAGCTTCGTCTTGTGCTTGACAAGATACGGGCTCCATGCTGGGGCCGCATACTCCAGGATTGGTCTTACATATGTGGTGTACAAGATTCTGAACGATTCCTTACAAAGGTTCCTGAACGCTGTTCTGATGTTAGCCAGCCTCGCATATGCCGCAGACGTTATTCTTTTTATGTGGGCTTCAGGAGACAGGTTTGGTGTGATATCAACTCCTAGATCTTTCTCTCTGTCCGTTTCATTAAGTACTTCATCTCCTATTCTGTATCCTGTGTCTGGCCTCCTGTTTCCACTGCCTAGTTTCATTACTTTGCATTTACTCAGGTTGAATTTCAACAGCCATTTGTTGGACCATTCACTCAGTCTGTCTAGGTCATCTTGTAGCCTCCTACTATCGTCCTCAGTTTCAATCCTCATAATTTTTGCATCATCGGCAAACATTGAGAGAAACGATTCTATACCCTCTGGGAGATCATTTACATATATTAGAAACAGTATAGGTCCAAGGACTGACCCCTGCGGGACTCCACTCCTAACGTCTCGCCAATCTGAGACCTCACCCCTCACACTGACTCGTTGTCTCCTGTTGCTTAGGTACTCCTGTATCCAACGGAGTACCTTCCCTTTCACTCCAGCTTTTTCACTAGCCTCTTGTGTGGCACTGTATCAAAGGCTTTCTGACAATCCAAAAATATACAGTCTGCCCACCCTTCTTTTTCTTGCCTTATTTTTGTTGCCTGGTCGTAGAATTCAAGTAACCCTGTGAGGCAGGACCTGCTATCCCTGAATCCATGTTGGTGCTGTGTTACAAAGTTCTTTCGCTCCAGGTGCTCCACTAGCTTTCTTCGCACAATCTTCTCCATCAGCTTGCATGGTATGCAGGTTAGGGACACTGGCCTGTAATTCAGTGCCTCCTGTCTATCCCCTTTCTTGTATATCGGGACTACGTTAGCTGCTTTCCAAATTTCTGGCAGTTCGCCTGTTGCCAGAGATTTGTTATACACTATGGAGAGTGGTAGGCACAGTTCTTCTGCTCCTTCGTTTAGTATCCAAGGGGAGATTCCATCTGGGCCTATAGCCTTTGTCACATCCAACTCTAGTAAACACTTCCAACTCTAGTGTGTGTGTGTGTGTGTGTGTGTGTGTGTGTGTGTGTGTGTGTGTGTGTGTGTGTGTGTGTGTGTGGCACCAAGAGTGGGAAGTGGTGGTGCCGGAGGTGTAGATAGAGTACGACTGCTGGCGTCCCCGCTCCCCAGTAACGTTAGCGCCGTCAACGGGCGCACACGCACTGCAGTGTTGCCCACTTTTACCGATGATCTCTCATATAGTGAGTCTTTATTTATGCTGTTTAACTCGTTTTATATACTGTAGTAGCGACTACCAGCCTGGGACGAGGTTGAGCAGTGGGAACCCGCAGTCCTGGGACTGAGTATTTTTAATGACTAGTTCTGAAGCTTGGTGCGACGTACTTCACCAAGTTGTACTCACCTAGTTGTGTTGCGGGGGTTGAGCTCTGGCTCTTTGGTCCTGCCTCTCAACTGTCAATCAACGTACTTGCCTAATTGTGCATGCAGGGGTTTAGCTTCGGCTATGGGGTCCCGCCTCTCCACAATCAGTCAATCTGCAGATGTACAGATTCCTGAGCCAACTGCACGGGGCTCTACCATATCTACGTTTGAAACTGTGTAAGGAATCTACCTCCACCACTTCACTTCTTATATAGTGCATTCCATTTGTTCACTACTCTAATACTGAAAGAAATATTTCTAATGTCTCTGTGAGCGGTAACAGAAAATTACTGGGACTTTACGTGACTTTTTCTACAGACAAATACAGAAGTGAGTGCTTGAGAAAGTGTGTCATACAATGACAGTTTATAATGACGGTTCCTGTACGATAGAAAGTTCTCTGGACCGCCAAGTACTGACTGGATCTCAAGTACAGTTTGTGCCTAAAACATTTGAACTAAGTAATGTGATTGTGGAACCTATACTATGGCAGAAGCCATCTCTGAAAAATGTGTTTGGAGGACATGGCCCGCTTCTAATGGGGGGACCTTCGACAAGCCACCGGCTTCCTGTCCTCGTCGAGGCCACTAGTGTTAGTGGCCCTCAAGTAAATCCTGCAGCAGGTGCATGGTGTCCGCAGGAAGGAATGTGAGGTTGACCGCCTGCCTCACACACTAACAACACGGCTCAGGGGAAGACTTCCACTACAGAATTATGCATGTCTTCAAAATAGTCTCAAAACTGAACTTGTGCAAGGATTATAATAGTCTTCGGGTGTTCCAATTTTCTTCCAGTCATACCAGAGTAAGACTCGTTTTAGTAAAGTTATTTTGGTCGCGCCATGTTTCGCTGTACGAGGGTTTAAATTACGATCTACGAGAGGTCTTCACTCCTATAAAGGGAAGAGTATCTTCGCCGAGCTAGTGAGGCAGGGCGGGATCCCCGTCAGTGGGGGAGACGCGGTGTTGAGATGACGGCCGCCATCCTGCAACCTGCCGGATTATATTGGTCCCACCAGATGCAGCCAGCTGCCAAGCCTGGTTCATGATACACCAAGATCACTGCAGCGACCAAGATCCAAAAGACGGCATCTGTATAATTCAGTGGTTCCAATTCAATATAGGTCCAGTATGTGGAACACCAACATGCACTCTCTCTAACCTAGAATATATTACGTAGGTCTCTCTCTCTCTCTCGCCGGTGTTTTCTTAGCCTGTGACCTGCCATCGCCTTTCCCGAATAAATATTGCTACAAGTTTGTGATTAATGACCCTCGTAGCAGTTGGTATGTCTTCTTTTCCATGTGTAAAGGTTAGAGTGCAGGCATCAGCATAGGCCTGAGCTTCAGGGATGAGGCGTAACAGATCACCGAAGTAGTCACTCCACAACAGAGGGCCAAGCACACTTCCCTGTGGCACTATTTGAGTGGCTCCCAGATTCATCCTACTTTTAGAGTACGTTCTTGAAGGTAGTCCTTTACTACCATGTAAAATGGAGCCTAGATACCTAGTGCTTAAAGCTTAGCTAGTATTCCAGAGTTATATACCCGATTAAAGGCTCCTGCAATGTTCAGTGCAACAACACAGTTCATCTTGAACTCATCTATTAAATGATGCCACTTAGTGAAGAGGTTTAGCACATCAGTAGCACAACGGCCTAATTAAAAACCATATTGTCGATCACCTTAAAATAGCCTTAAAAGAGTCGATGATAGTAAAAACATTATGCCATTGGGTGAGAGATTACTGGCAACATTTTTGAGACATTAATCTCGCTGTCTCTGTGTTTCCTTGTCTTCTTCTAAATGACGTCTAAATTCTTCCCCAAAAATGTGATATGATATTTTTGTATTAACACATTAAGGTCAACCTCTATACCACTCATATGTCATCTTGGAAAGTTAGGTGAAGCTAGCCCCAAGTGTGTGACCTTCCTTAGATAAACGAAGAGACACAAATATTTTTTAAACATTAACAAAAATATAAATAATCCATTAATATTATAATTTACAATACAATGTATGGCATCAGGGATAAAAAACACACTAACATTCCAAGGCTTTCATTGCACCATCTACTTTAATCCACTGACTGCCAATATCCTCAACTACAATTGCGCGTAAATTGCTCATATCATGCCCATGTTCTGGGTATTTCAACTGTTCCACCACTTCACTATCTTCTTTATTTCTCACACAATTTACTTCCCTCTCCTCCACAGCAACCTTACTTGTGTCCACATTAACTTTCATGTGTTGCCTCACACACCTAATACATGTGTTGCCTCACACACCTAATACATGTGTCGCCTTGTATACTTCCCTTCACTCTGCTAAAAAGAACTGTAGCCAGAATTTTGGCAGGACTCTTAATTATTCATATAAGACATAGCCTAGCCAAAGACCTGGGCTAGGCTCTTCACCCATCTAACATTCATATTTATGCTTCCCTCATGACCCCATCCATATATGTACTGAGTAACCCATCACATAACTCATCACTCCTGATATGTTCATCACTCTCCAAAGATTTTCTGTATTAACTTTCTAATATACATTTTCCAAGTCCATAAATGCCGTGTACACCTTACAATCTTCTTTGCGTGCCTTCTCGGCAATCTGTGGCAATGTAAATATCTGATCTATATACACACGCACACTCTTCCTTCACGGAACCCGTCTTATACATCACTCAGAAATGTCTGTAATTTCCTGTACTTTTGAGATAACCTAACCAGGTTATCTCAAGAAAACCCTTGAGATAACCTGATAAGGTTTCATATATAGATATATATAAATATATATATATAATATATATATATATATAAATATATAAATAAAGATATATAAATAAATAAATAAATAAGTAAAATAATGAGTAAATAACAATAAGTAATAAAAATTACTAATTAATACTCAAAAATAAAAATAATAAATAATAAAAATAATAAGTCAAAATTAATTTTGGAGAGTTAATTTTTAATCTTCCTGCTTCAGCGAAGAAAAACATAAGGAATATCGAGAAGATTCGTGCTAGAATCATAAATCTAAAACTTTCTGTCGTTTTCAACGAAATATGTTTAAAAGAAAGACTGCTACTTATATATATATATGCATATATATATATATATATATATATATATATATATATATATATATATATATATATATATGCATATATATATATATATATATGTCGTACCTAATAGCCAGAACGCACTTCTCAGCCTACTATTCAAGGCCCGATTTGCCTAATAAGCCAAGTTTTCATGAATTAATGTTTTTTCGTCTACCTAACCTACCTAACCTAACCTAACCTAGCTTTTTTTGGCTACCTAACCTAACCTTACCTATAAATATAGGTTAGGTTAGGTTAGGTAGGGTTGGTTAGGTTCGGTCATATATCTACGTTAATTTTAACTCCAATAAAAAAAAATTGACCTCATACATAGAGAAAAGGGTTGCTTTATCATTTCATAAGAAAAAAATTATAGTAAATATATTAATTCAGGAAAACTTGGCTTATTAGGCAAATCGGGCCTTGAATAGTAGGCTGAGAAGTGAGTTCTGGCTACTAGGTACGACATATATATATATATATATATATATGCATATATATATATATATATATATATATATATATATATATATGCATATATATATATATATATATATATATATATATATATATATATATGCATATATATATATATATATATGCATATATATATATATATATATATATATATATATATATATATATATATATATATATATATATATATATGCATTGGTGCTGTAAATGAGTGCTTTATGACAGTCAGTATAACCGCTCACGCACATTAGTACGTGCAGCCGCACAGGTCCAAACTGCTATATTAATGCAAAGACTGGCTTGTGCTGTGAATATAACTATAAGACGATAGCTGTATAACCATGCCTTTCCATAGTAAATAAATGAACTAAGCTCCATCAGTACCAGTGTATAAATAGTTGACAAGAGCAGGATTGGCAAGCGGCCAGTGGCGCAGACGGAACCTTGGAGCGTGTGAGACTTGAGGGAGCACTGCGGTAAACCTGTGACGTCAGTATGCGCGCGCTGGTCACGTGATTGTTGGCGAGTCAGTAACATTTAAATTTTTTAAATTTTGCCCCGAGGGGCGAGTTTATTGGGCAGCGCCACTCATCTTGTGAGTGGACACACATAGCGCTTTCAAATAGCATTTTTGTGGATGAATTAAATAAGTAAATTTTGTATTTCAGTGTAGTTAAAGAAGTAGGTTATATGCAACTTTCACTGTAATATAAGCTTGCAATGAATATATACACTTTGTAATTTAATAAGTGTATTGCAATTAAGGCAAGTTGAATCAGTTATTTGTGACAAAAATTTATAGCAACAATATGCGGATATATTTAAATTAGACATATGTTAAAAACGTCTTAGAACCAGAGTACGTATGGTTAGCCTATATATATAATAATTCAAGTACAAATAAGGTACCAACTGATAGATTTATAATAGAAGTCGCCTTGTAATTAAATTTTAAAATTATTTGTTATAAATACTTTAAATTTTTGTTATCTTAACCAATTATTTTTAGGGTAAAAACTCTTGCTTTTTATTATTTTTACGTTTCAATGGTTCCTCTAATGTTGGCCTAATTAAGTTGACCAGACCACACACTAGAAGTTGACGGGACGACGACGTTTCGGTCCGTCCTGGACCATTCTCAAGTCGATTGTGAGATTGGCCTAATTAAGACCTGCTGTGAGGACGACGAATCTCAATAACCTGGGTGAAGATATGATGACCAAACCACTCATCGGGAGGTGAAGAAGCGTCCTTTCTTCACTTTCCGTCCTGCCCAGAACGGACCGAAACGTTGTCGTTTCTTCACTTTCCGTCCTGCTCAGAACGGACCGAAACGTTGTCCTTTCTTCACTTTCCGTCCTGCCCAGAACGGACCGAAACGTTGTCCTTTCTTCACTTTCTGATGAGTGGTTTGGTCATTACACTTACTGTGAGATACCAGTTCATTGATTCATTTATCACAATAGTTTCCTGGTATCTTGCATTAGTTGTGTTCTGTATAGAGCCTGTAGACCACTTTCGGAGTTCAAGAAGGAACTTGGGACACATCTCCACAAGGTACGTGATCAACCGGGCTGTGATTGGTGTCAGGTTGTGTGCGACGACGTCTTACCAGCCTGATTGACCAGGCAGTCAACCAGTAGGTCTGGCCAGAGACCGGGCCACGAGGCATTGATCCTCGGAACCTCACCAAGGTAGTAGCCATCACAACTTCCAACTCTTTAATATATAATTGATCACTAAAATAACATTTTTATATTATTAACTTTGTGTTAACACTTTTCTTCTTTGTATAGATATTTTTCCACGACATATTTTCCTTGATAAGTGAATGAAGTGAGTGGAGATTGAAGCAATGTTATTTGAGTTTAGAGGCCTAGAAGTTGATACCTGATAAGGACTTTTTGATATGCTCTGAACAGATGAGACTTTGTAACACAGCATCAGCATGGGTTCAGGGATGGCAAATCTTGCTTCACAGAATTAATTGAATTCTATGACCAGGCGACAAAAATCAGACAAGAAAGAGAAGGGTGGGTAGACTGCATATTTTTGGATTGCCAGACAGCGTTTGACACAGTACCCCATAGGAAGCTAATGTACAAACTGGAGATGCAGGCAGGAGTGAAAAGGAAGGTACTCCATTGGATAAGGGAGTACTTAAGCAACAGAAGACAGCGAGTCACTGTGAGGGGTTAGATATCAGAGTGACGAGGCGTCACAAGTGGAGTCCCGCAGAGTTCAGTCCTTGGACCTATTCTGTTTCTGATATATGTAAATGATCTTCCAAACGGAATAGACTATTTCATCTTAATGTTTGTTTAGTATGCAAAAAGTTTGAGGAGGATTAAGACCTAGGAAGATATCAAGAGGCTACAAGATGACCTAGACAAACTGAACAAATGATGCACCGATGGCTACTAAAGTTCAACCCAAGTAAATGTAAGGTAATGAAACTAGTTGGAGGGAACAGGATGCTAGACATAGGATACTGAATGGGAGACGAAGTCATCCATGAAATGGACAGAGAGGAAGAACTAGGCGTTCGTATCACGCCGTGTAACAGTTGTTGAGGTGACTTGTGTAGAGACTTGGGATGGTACCTGACTTACCAGACATTATTAGCAGGGAGGTGAGGTAAGGTGACGCAAACCTCACCTCGAGTAGTTTTAAAGATTAGAAGGCTATCCCTTGTTACCAGATTCAAATCAGTCCATTCAACGATAAATTGGGGATAGACGGGTATAAAAGCTGGCCACGAGAGCGGGAGTGGACAGTTGTGTTCAGTGTCTCAGACAAGAGAGGACTCTAAGAGTGTAGTGTTGGGCATCACATAGAGAGGACTCTTAAGAGCGTAGTGTTGGCCATCGCAGAGAGAGGACGACTGACAAACTTCATCACTGTTGTATCTTGAGTGAGTACTGGTCCTTTATGTTCTAACGTCACAAGTGTTGATCATTCTATTGCCTTGATAAGGAAGATGGTGCTACATAGCCTTCCCGGTTTGGTGCCTTACTTGGCACCAAACTTACTTAACTTACTTACTTGGTAGGGAAGACAGATTAGGATTTTTATATTGAACTTAATTAAATCAATATATATATCACTAAATTGTCCATCTGGTATATCCATTCGTTCCTGTTAGTAATTCATAGAGTTGCCAGTAAATAGTGGAAGTTGACCCGTGTTCTCAACCCCACCCCCCCTGCCACCATTAACTCTCCCGTGACTGGTACCCCTCGCCGACGGTCACTGTAACGTAACTCGTTAACATTAAGGCCAAGGTGGTGGCGGCATTAAGTAACTTTAAGTTTAAGTCATAATTAGTAACAACTTTGTTGGTGGTGGTATCAGTGGTGATACACCTGAGATACTTTATAGATACGTTATAACCGAACCTGTTTGCTGAAGCCCACATCAAAAGTACTGAGTACCCAAATGAGCCACAGGGACATTAGAAAGAACTTTTTCAGTGTCAGAGTAGTTAATAAATGGAATGCATTAGAAAGTGATGTGGTGGAGGCAGACTCTATACACAGTTTCAAATGTAAATATGATAGAGCCCAATAGGCTCAGGAATCTGTACATCAGTATATTGACAGTTGAGAGGCAAGACCAAAGAGCCAAAGCTCAACCCCTCCAAGGACAAATAGGTGAGATGAGTATAGCAATGTTAACAAGTTCAAGTATGTTTATTGACATAAGAAAATACATCTCAAAGGGATAGAGTAGCTTAGGCTATTTCACCCCCTCCACCCCCGCTCTACTTCCCTCAAGGGGCGCACAATTTCAGTGAGTACAAATCAAATCACAATACAAAAATCCCATTTAACATTGTAGGTTAATTAGTGTAGCAAACAAAGCATATAAGTGTTACACTCTTGGGGCAAAATTCTTGTAGCTCCTAAGTATTTTGTCTATCATACCATTATCACACATTCAAACAATTTGATGTGGTACACTACTTATTTCCTTATTTCTATAGTTATCAATAAGTTGACACTCTAATATATAATGATCTAAGGTGTGGGCGTGCGGCATACTACATAATTTACACTCCTTACCTTTTTTACTGGCATATTTGTATCCTAATCTTAATCTCAAGTAAACTGAGTACTTCCAAGTAGACTTTCCTCTACCGTAAGTGAAGAACGAATTTGTATTTATTATTGCATAATTCTTATTATGCAATAATAAATTATTATGCAAAAAATGCATAATAAGTGTTAATACTGTCATTCCATTGCCATTCTCTTTAATTTTTCTTCATCCTCTTGGATCATCTTGATTCTTATAAAAGTTTTTTCCGTGGCTCTCTTCGCTATCTCATCAACTACCGTATTCCCACATGTGAAGGGATCCACATGAATCTTACTTTATACCCATTTTTTTCTAATTTCTTGATCTCTCTACGCTCTATCACAATATTCTGGTAAACTGGTCGTCTGCTATTTAAAGACTCTAACGCTCCTCTACTGTCAATAAAGAAGCAGGTATTATCACCATATTTGACTACTTCCTGTAATCCTGCTAATACACCTTGGAGTTCAGCCTGCGTTGAAGAGACATTGTCAGTTAAGCGGCGGCCAATAACAGTATCTACAGTGCCGCTGTCAAAGTACTCCCTGATCAAGACTCCACAGCCTGCCTTCCCATCCCTAGCTACTGACCCATCACAATATACATGTAGTGTTTTCTGAAGGTAATTTTCTAATTATACAATCATGTCGCCCTCAGCTCTCCTATCTCATACATACTTTTTTTTCGTTTGCAAGGGAATAATTACTACATCTACGTTACAATCCTCCCATGGTGGTGTGAATTGTCTCTTAGGCAGAGCAATACATTCTGTAATAACATTATACTTTATAACATTAGAACATAAAGTACTCATATATGCTCTTATTATACTCTAACATACATTGTTCATTACTTCCCAACTTTTGAACTGAGAGGATTAATTCATTAGCTTCCCCACCACTCATTAATCTAATGGCAGAGGCTACATTTATCTCTGAAATTCTATCCCCAATACTCTTCAGATTCAATTCCATCCTCATTATCTCAATTATAACATTTCTTGGGCATCCTAAAATTATTCTCATGGCTTTATTTTGTACCTTCTCCAACTTGCCCATCCTACCTTTACCAAAACAAGAAATGACACGTGCATCATAATCAATAAGAGATCTTACAATACTCAATTATATTATTTATTTATTTATATACAAGAAGGTACATTGGGTTTGAGAGAATACATAGCATAGTATTTACAATCTTGTAAAGCATTTACAATCATTCGTAGCACAGGGACTCCCACTCCCTTTCCACAGCATGCCAAGGCCTTCAGAGGTTGTAGTCAATGTCTCTTCCGACATTGACCCAACAGTCTGTTCATCTCGGCTTCCAAACTCTCATGGGTATATCCAACACATATGCCTAAATATTTATATATATTAACTATATATTTTTACCGTTTATTTTCAATATAATAGGCCTCCGACTTCTACATTTAAACTTAGTTTTGTCTTCATTAAGCACCAGTCCCGTATGGTGACAGGTTTCCGAAATTGTCCGACATCTGGTTGATACCTGGTGTATCACCGTTTGAACTTTTGAAATATCTTTGCCCTGAAACAAAATATCATCGGCATACTCTACCCCATTTGAGTATCTCTCAGATACTATCTTATTCATTAGTATATTAAACAGGGTGGGACCCAACACTCCTCCCTGAGGTGTGCCGAGTTCCAATGATCTCACACCTGACATAAACCTTGATACCACACCTGAGCTTTTTTTTCGTGAAGATAATCTTCTATCCAGCGCAATAATCTCCCTTAACACCAAGACCAGCTAGTTCATTTAAGATAAATTCTTTTGTTGCCTTTATCAAAAGCTTGTAAATCAATAAAAATTCTATAGTAATCATTATCATTAGCTAGACATTTAATAATACAGTCAGAGGTACTTTTGCCTCTGAGGAACCCGAACAAATTACTAGACAGCTGATCACCTATCATATATATAAGTCTATTTAAAATTATCCTCTCCATCATTTTACAAAAACACGAGGTTAAGGACACAGGTCTGTACTCTCCACTGGCTTTAGGGATAGGGATGATCATAGCTTTTTTTTCCATTTACTAGGAATTCTGCCCTCTTTATAACTAATATTAAAGAGGTCTAACAGTGGGCTTATTTTCTCCATAATGACAAGTTCATTAAATATTTCATGAGTTACTCCATCCTCCCCGGGGGCGGTAGATTTCCCAACTTTAATCTCCATTATTTCTTCATCTCTGGTAATACCTGGGCAAGTGACGTCACCACTGTTAACTGCTGTAAGTGTAAAGTACTTGCTTAGATCTTTCCAAGAATCTAATGACACTCTCGTTACCGCGGGCAATAAATAAGTGTGGCAGAAGGCACTACGGGCTCACCATAGCCCGTGGAACTCTGTTCCAGGTAGCGAATCTTTAACAACAACAAGTGTGGCAGCTTCCGCCCATTTTTCTACGAGACTGTTCACAATTCCTTACCGGTCAGGACGTGTAACAAAATTATGCTTTTTACCTTTTACTTTATTTACGTCTTGCCAGATTTCCTTCAAGTTTCTGTTACTCCCAACTTTCTCTGCAAATTCTTCCTAATTTCCTCTCTTCCCCCCCACACAGCCTAGCAACTGCCAGTAAAGTATTTTTCCCTTCCTCAGTCCTACCATTCCTATTCCCAGTGATTTCTCTTTCTTGTTAATGTCCACCCCTTAGCATCTTATCCTGTGTATAATTGTATTTTCTGGGGAGATGCTTTTTTTTATACTGGATGTTCTTCTGTTCAATGTTGCATTAAATACATCTGCCTCCTTAATTAGATCTTCATAAAATGCTTCTGCCAAAAAAAAAGACCTACAGTATTCTGCAAATATTTGAGCCATATTAAAGGAATGCAAAGCAAGTAATTAATTATAGGTGTGATCATGCAGATTTCTGCAATACTTAACTAACATACAAGTACACTGATGACAGTGGGACGAATTAATATATATATATATAGTTCCACGAATCACCGTTATTCATTTTTACATTTAGGGTCCTTAGTATAGTCGGGTTCGTTCTCGACTCACAATCAAGAACTTCGAGTTCGAATCCCGGGCGGGATTAAAACTGTTCTACGCAGTTCTTATCACCTAATACATCTGTTCACCTAGCAGTAGGTAAGTACTCAGGAGTCGGCTTGTTGTGGGGGCTGCATCCTGGGCGGGGTTAGTAATTCGACCTTGGGGGTTGGGGGGGGGGAGTTCCCTCGATATAAGCCTAACGTATATGAATAAACTGCCTTCCTGTCCCCGCCACAATGAATTATTATTATTTATTATTTAAAATACTACAAGTTGCCAATAATGTAACCATTTCCGTGGCTTTAAAATTAATTCATACTATTTCCTATATGTATGTTTCAAATAAATGAATACACATGAATGAAAAAGTGGCCGTCTCCGCGCTATAAAGGCATATACCAAAGCAAATTGAAAAGTCCTGTAGTCTGGCCTTCCCGGCGGTATGACGTCACTTCCTCGAATCTACGTCATTACAAAAACCAAGAAATAAATGACTAAAACCCTACCGGAATATTCCCCGATCAAAAAATAAAGCTCTGGTGATATTTTCTCGCATAAAAATGTATACAAATCCTCAATTTTGCTTGATATTAAGGCAAATAGAGTTGGCGAGGAGTAAATCAATTGTTGGGTGTGGGAGGTGAGGTGACGGCTCTCCTCTCCATGTTGACTCTCACCACTCTGAGGCAGCCAGCCAGCCAGTCTCCCGTCCTAGTGGTAGCTTGTGGACCCTGCTGCTTCCTATCACGCCAGGATACACGCCTCGTCCAAGGACACAGCACTGCAGGTGATACATGGTGCGTGGAGGATACATAGACGGCGAGGTGAGGCCGGCACGCTCGCTGCGTAGCTGGTATAATTTATTTATTTACCCGAATTTACCTGAGGGCAACTCATACTAGTGGCCTCTCGACGAGGACAAGAAGCCGGAGGCTTGTCAAAGGTACTCCCCATAATAATAATACTGGTATAATAATGGATACCGCATGCTCGGTATCCATTTTTCTTTGTGTAGAGACGCGTGGAGGATACTTGTATCACCAGGGGCGGCGGGGGCTTGTAGTACACACTTGCTTGGCTTTACGCTAGCTTGTGTAATAATGCCCCTACACTACATTGTATCATACTCTAGTCCCTGGGTTGTTTAAGATTCAGCTACTAGGAACAAAAAGTTAAAAGTAGCACGGGCTATGGTGAGCCCGTAGTGGACTAACCTGGCACAGGCGCGGGGCTGTAACTTGCGAGTCCCTGGAGCCGGAGTGTACAATATGGTACTGTTTGGGGGTGTGCTCCCAAATAGTACCTACCAAATAGTGCTCCCTCCTCGCATGCCGAGTGGCACATGATAAACCATACAGTGTCATGTCAAGTTATGACGTTCAGTTTACTTTCATTTATCATTAGTCCACAATTAGGGTAAAGTAAGGTGTTTAATTTCCAGTATTGAAGAGCTGTTTGTGGTGTCGCTTGAGCACCATGCTGTTCGTGCTCTTTTTGTAAATAAGGCTTTTGTAACAAGAAACTGCACAGGTTTGGTATTATACTTTTACTGAAATGCTGTATCAAAGTGCCCACCAGCATTAAAAATGATTACAAATTGTATAGATATGCCAGTACAGTAATGGTAATTTAATAAGATAAGCCAGCATTATATTAGTATTTAACCTACTTTGTAGCTCTATTTTTATTAAAAACTGGCCTTTCTTTTTTAAATTAAATAAAAATTGAGGCAAGAAAATTTTTTCCTTGTATTGGCCCAATTCATTCTCATGCTCAACATTGCCACTGCATGTTGCATGACAGACACTTTTACAATGCACATTACCCAGAAATAATGGTTTGTTATAACTAGTATTCTCAATTTCAACAGTTGTTAATAAAGGATACATTGAGTTTAGACTGATACGGTATTTTTCTAGTACGCACTGTAGTACAAGCTTCGGAGCCATCCACTGTTAAAGTTAAGGTTTCATATCCTGGCTCATTTGTCGATTGCCGTGTATAATGTGCTCCTGAAGGTCTGTTGGGCCCCATTCAGATTATGCAGGTTAATTTCAGCTGCCAATGCTAAAGATTTAACATAAATTACCTTAACATTTGCAGGGAAGTGACTACAAAATTTATTATAAGGAATTGTAAACCTTCCAAGTGGGAAGGGGGGGGGGGAAAGCTTGCTTTACATTCTCTAGAAAGGCAAAGAGCAGGTGATATAATTGAATTATACAAATGGATGAAAAGGGGGGTTTAAGTAAGGTGTTAAGTACTGTACAGTATATAGAAACAAAATAAATCTTTAATTAAACAATGGATTGAAATTGGTGGTTTTGATTTGGAAAAAATGCATGTAAATATTAGTTTGGGAATAGGGTTGTTGATCTATGAAGAAAAATTGATGTGTAACTGCAATGTGTGATCACTGGATTTTTTAAAGCAAAAGTTAGGTGTACAGTATATGAAGGTTTGTTTAAGAATTAATATTAACTGCCTCGCATGTCGGTAAGCCTTGCAGTTCCCTTTCTTCTTGTAGTACAATTCCTTTTGTTTGCATAGATAAAGTACAGTATGATGTGCAATAGTGTTGACATTTTATAGTAGCATGCAAATTTTTCCCATTTTCAAGGATTCAAAGGGAGTTGACATCAATGGTTAAATTTGCCTTCATTCAAGGGCAGCTGACCACTAGTGGATGCTAAAGTGGGTGTTATTGAAAACCCTTCACCGTGGCCGCTAAATTTCTAGCGTGACATAAGCACTGGCCAAACAAACTTGCACCTTATTTGTAGGAGTGGGTTTGCAACACTTGTGCCAAAGAATATTACCAAAACATAGTTTAATACTAAAATTGCAGTAACATGCCTAAAAAATACTTGAAGCAGGATTGCAGGATTGAACCAGCCTCTTGGGAGACCTGCAATGCATGCAGTACCTATGGATCACAATAGGTTTAAGGTTACACAACCTGCAATTCATCTGGACTTGCTAGGAATCTGTAGGCACGAAGTCAATATCTAATGTTTTACACTTGCATAAACGCCCATAAAATGCACAACGCAGCGAGTGTTTGGTGGGGAACCCTAGTAGTAGGCATCAATCAGTCTCGGGGAGACACACATGGAGTTGCACTCTGGTTGTCGATCTGGAGCGGCCTCTCCAGGGTATATTGATACGGAAGAGAAGCTGTTGCCCATGTAGCAGGTGCCCCCTCTCCACGGCGCCGAAAGCCTCCAATAGAAAGGCAAACGCCAATACGATTGGTTCCAGCGCTGTCGCTGGAACTGAGAGCTCCGGAGGTGACCTCGAAGTTGGAAGAACCCTATCACCTACATAAATGTAAGATGGTCACATATAAAACTTGGATTGGTGCCTTCAGATTACTAGCGAGCTCTTGCTAATTAAACGATTAAGGGCAGAGCTAATTTGATACTTGACAAAAGCACGTAGTTCTAGGCATTGGTTGCATGTTCTAGGGCTTTGTTGATTACATTTCAACATTACATTACATGTTGCATTTTTAATTGTTTAGTGGTACCAGCAATTGTATTCACAAATTTGAAGGGCAAATAGAATTTTATCCAGAGTAGCATTTTTCCATTTGTATCCTAGTATACCTTTATTCTTATCCATGATTTGACTTTCAAACTTACAAAGGACACTTTACCTTTAGTAAGATTTTCACAATTTTAACCATTAATCATTTTAATACAATGTGTATATTTTTTCTTTTCCAGACAAGATGAATAGTAGATGCATGATGACAGTCGGGTATGTGGAGGGACATGCCTAGAGAATAATTTCGCTTCGCTCATCCCGGATTCTCGTCCCATATACTCTAGAACACATGTGGTTATAACACTAACTTACCACATGTTTAAAACTCAGTTGTGTGGAAGAACTTTATAGTGAACTTGATTTAATAATTATAATACAGAAATTATAAGTTTGAATAGAATCTCGTAAAGAACAGTTAGTAAATCAAATTGCATATAAAAGTTGCTAATATTCGTTATAAAAGTAATAGTGCCAAAGCTACATAATCTAGCATATCCATGCCCTTAAGAAAACTGCTTGTGCTATCACAGGTTGAAAGTTGTGAAATAGATACAGCAATGGGAGATGCTATTCAAGATAACAAGCTGCTTCATATAGAGCAGAATCGATTAAAGACCTTTGAGGGTCATAATTTCAACATGGATAGTCTTATACTTGCAAGGGCTGGTTTCTATTATACAAATAAAGACAGTATTTTAGAGTGCTGTGCATGCCATTTACAAATTGATGCTGTAACCCTTGACCCAAATGAAGACATAATTGCTTTACACAAGAAAAAGAAAGCAGAGTGCACATTTGCTCAGAACTTAAGTAGATCAAAGAAGTTTGCTTCCTATGACAGTCTGCGTTTTGAGAGAGAACGCTTGGAAACCTTCATAGAGTGGCCAGTGGAATGGTTGAAACCAGAAGATTTGGCTCGAGATGGCTTTTACTATCTGAGAACTGCTGACCACTGTGCTTGTGTCTTTTGCCGAGGCATTGTTGGGGCCTGGGAGGTAGGAGACACTCCCAGAGGAGAGCACCAGCGGCACTTTCCTCACTGTCCATTCATCCGGGGCCAACCCGTGGGAAATATTCCACTGACTCATGGTGAATTACTCTCGAAGCTGTCGCCCAGTAACCCACAAGCTGCAGATGGGGACACAAGGGGATTGGATGCCAATAGACAAGCAAAGGAACTGGATGCCAATAGACAAGCAAGGGGATTGGATGCCAATAGACGCACAAGAGGGATAGATGTCTGTGGTACTCCTTCCCCAAGGCTTATGGCAGGCTCTTACGCAGAGTGTCGTAAGTAAAGAAGTTTTTTTGTAAAAAATATTTTTACTGATATAACTCATTACCATTAAATGTAATACGTATACTGTACAATATACAATGGCTTTTCCTAGATAATTGGCAAAACTAGTTCTTGACTTTATATATACTTGCATAATCCTAAATTCAATTATTCAATAAAATTATGCATTGCAAAAGATTTTGGTTAATTTTTTTTTAATCTTAAATTTTATTTGTTCTTTAAGATGGACCTCCTAAAAAGCCAGGAATAAGCCTTGAAGGTATGGGACTGCCTCAGCACACTGGCCCCAAGCGAAAGGACTACCTAACATGTGAAAGTAGACTTGCAAGCTTTATCAAGTGGCCTGAACGTGTGAAGCAGAAACCAAAGGAGTTGGCTGAAGCAGGATTCTTCTATTGTGGTATGTTGCTCAAACTTTTATTGCACTCAGTTTAAAGCTTAATTTTTCATAGCTCATTATAAAGTTGCTAGTAAGTGTTTATTTAATGATTGTTACTAAAGACCTAAGGAGTTTAGACAAGTTCATGCAACCTCCGATGTTTTTCCTTGAGATAAAAAAAATTGTTTACCCATTATTTTAAGTTGTCACACTGGTATAATTATGTAATATAATTACAGGTCTGAGTGATCATGTGCGCTGTTTCCATTGTGGAAATGGACTCCGCAATTGGGAATCTGATGACGCACCTTGGAATGAGCATGCTCGCTGGTATCCAGAGTGCAACTTCGTTCTTTTGACGAAGGGCCAAGAATTCATTGATAAGGTATATATGTTTTTATTTTAAGACTGTTAAATGAATTAATTTGAATATTTTGAATTTGGTTGTAATGTAAGTTTTAAGAAATTGTTTATCTACTGTACATTCAAATTGTTAACTGCTACTCAAAGCATTCTCACTAGGAAAATAATGTACATGCTGCTGAAAATTTGCATATGTAGGAAAGGTACATGAGGTTCTGATAGAAAACTGTTAATTTGCAGCTAAATTTAAAAAAAAATGATCTGAAGTTGAAATATTTCAAAATGGTTTTAGTATTAACGTGTACAAAAGTGTTAGTGGTAATATTACTTTTTTCTGACTGCACTTGTATGCAACATCACCAATGGCATACAGCTTCACAAAGCTGTCAGAATTCAGCAACACAAGAGCAAGAGTACAGGGACTGGGTGTACAGTCTAGTAAGAGTCCTGGGGTGATCCCTTAGATTAGCTTCACCGGGCCATGATCCACGTTGGTTGTTTAGACTCCTCGGTGCCATTGATGCACTTTAAGGGACTTCCATTGGTCATCATATTTATAGTTTAGTGATTAATAGGCAGTTTTGTGTTTGACACCAGGGCTGAATGCTCAAGGGTGAGTAGTGGCAGTATTCAGAAGTGGCTGGCTGGCAGTGACAACACTTGAGTAATTCTTTATGAATTATTTCTGAAATTGATATGGGCTTTAGTAGCATTAATAGGCTAATTTTTAGAGGTCGGACAGAACTGTAAATACAGTACAGTAATTCTTGGTCATAACTATGTAGTGGGCATTTTCGGTATATAGTAAGTTACTGGCAAGCAAACGACTGCCTCCCACACTTCCCTCTGGTCAGTCGCCTCCCTCCCTGTCACCCACCGAACCTAAATGTGGAGGATCATTGAGGTGGTGTTGATTAGAGCAGAACAGAAACATCATCATAGTCCCAGCTTCTCGCTTGTTGGGCATTCCCCACTTTGTGCTCATGACTTTATCCAGTGCAACCATACATAATGATGCACAAGCCAAAGCAAATGCAAGCTTCTGAGTATAATTTAAGGGTGGTGTTCGCCTTCACCCACACATCTGGCAAGTGCTTCTCTGCATCAGACAATACATAATTTCTTTGCCAGGTACAATGACTAATAAATTGGTATGGACTTCACAGATAATTACTGATTTCACATTCCATTATTGCATTTTCCTTACAATGCTCCCAGATATTTAAAACTTTCTTCCAATTGTTATCTCTTGCCCCAATTTTCATTATACAGTTGGTCACTTTTGCCACCATAGGTCTAAGTATCTAAATCTTATTTTAAAACCCATTATCTTCCTTCCTACAATGGTCTCATTTTCTGTTTTGACACTTATTTTCTGGCAACAGAAGCATAAACTATCTAAAGATTCCTTCATCAGTCCATTTCCACTCAGATATGCCTACTTATTTTAATATCAAATAGTTGTTTTTCTGACCATGAAGTTGTAAATTGGGCCCAATGTAAATTGGATAAGTACGAATGGGCCCAATCATTTATGATGTGGCAATATATTGTATGTTGCTTTTTCATTTTCTTTGTAGGTTCGACGTGAAAAGCCTCCATATATTCGCAGTCAACCTACTGACAAGACTTCTAAAAGTAATACTGCTTCCACATCACCGTTGACTACAACACTTATTAGTGAAAATGAATTAAATCCATTAATGGAACTAGACATCATTAGAGCTGTTATTTCCATGGGCTTCCCTCAAGATAAAGTGAGAGCTGCTCTCCGACGAAAGCTTGAGCAGACAGGGTTGCCTTTCTTTGGCCTTGAGCCATGCATTGAAGCAGTCCTGCAGTATATGGAGGAGGAAACCAGACAAGCTCTAAATCAGGCCTCTAGTCAAGAAATAGAAAATGAAGCGACAGCCCAGCAAGCTGCCAAGATGCAATCTCTAGGTCCTGAAAATCGGAACAGGCCAACTACATCATCTGCCTCTTCATCTGCTTCAACATCTACAAATTCTACACCCTCTGCTGTTACATCTTCCTCCCCTCTAGTCACATCTGCCGCTTCCACGTCTGCTGCAAATACCCTAGCCTCCATTCCAACTGCTTCTGCGTCAAGCTCAGCAGTCTCAGCCTCGGCTTCTTCCTCAGCATCAGACAGGGAACATCCTGAAGCTTCTATCAATAATAGCTTGACAGTGTCTCCAGCATTAACAACTACACATGAAGAAATGGAAACTGAAGAGAATACAGCTGCTGAAACTTTAGCTCAGCCCATGGATGTTATTACAGAAGCTGATGAAATTATGGGAATTGCTGAAGTTGCCCTAAAGCCACCAATTTCTGGTCCTTCATCTCTTGATCAAATTGAGATGAAAATTGAGCAGGCATCTGGTGAAAAAATGCTTGAAAACCCTTCTACATCAGGGCTTGAAAAGAATGCACCTCAGTCTTGTAAGTATGCTCTTAAACTTTTGGCTAGTCATAAATATTCTGAAGTTTTTGGTGCGTTAATATCTCGAATTTCATAATATTTTAGTATCTTGATGTTTTGCTTACTATCTCTATAGAGATAATCCTGTGCTCTGTTTGTCTATTATAATTATGTATAGCTACAGTAAATAGTTTTTAATCAGTTTCCAACTGGTTACCTTTAGCTGCTTTAATCTTACACAATTAGGATTGTTATATGAGGACACCTTGGATTGAACTTTGTCTTCATTTTTGTTAGTAAACTAATAACTATAATTATTGGGTAATGTGAATTAAAGCAAGATTCTTTGCTATAAGTGTGAGTATTTAAAAATACACTATAAAATAATGATAATTAGCACTTTCGATGCCTTGCAGTAGTGCAGCCTCGCTTCCTAAACTACAATCACTTTTCTATTGTCTTTCTTTAGATTAAGGTACCTTTTCTTGCTGGCAGGTGTTTTGTATCCTTGGGGTAGTTAAATATAGACTTTACAAATGCATTCGAATGTTTTAGGAAATGGCTTACTGCAGCCAGCACAGGAAAGATTCATGGTCTGCAAACCATATAAGCACTTTACCACTTTATAAAATATGTTTTTAAATGTTCAACATAGTATGTTTGATTTCTTTATTTTCCTCAGCTCAAGAACTTGCAGAAGAATTGGAAAGAATACGGGATATTAGAATGTGCAAGGTTTGCATGGATGCCGAGATGGATGTAGTGTTCCTGCCTTGCCAACACATGGTTACTTGCTCCTCTTGTGCTTTAGCCTTGGCACAGTGCCCAATCTGCAGAGTAGATATAAAGTATACAATTAAGCCAATTCTTTCCTGAATAATGTCAGTGAAAGTATAAAACTTTCCTGGTATTACAAAATGGGGAAAGATTAAAGATTATCATTTCTTGCCAACAAGTTTTTTTTGTACTAATACAGGTAAAATATTTATTATTTCAATTTGTAAAAGTTTAAAGCAAAGATTTCGGTCATCCAAAGATTTGCTCAATAGATCTGTCAGTGCAGCTATCAAAACAATGCAAATCACTTCTGTGCTATGCTTGGTTAATTATAGTTCCAGAATAGCTTGTAACCCATAATAAACTTGTAATTATAAAAAAAAATTATTATTTTTTGTGAAGTTTTCTCACTTTTTTTAAAGTTGTAAATTTTGTATTTTGTTGCGCAATTCAACTTTTATTTTGACTTGCAAATAACTTTTCCAGTATTGGAAAATACCAGTTTTATTTATGAAAATAACATTTAATTTCACAAAAATATTTTGCACTTTGAACAATTAAGTTTGAGGGTGCCTAGTGGTAAATGTTAAGTATTGCAAACTTACTGGGCTAGTGTCGGTATCTTTATTTTCTTATCACTCATTATGTAAATAGCATTATTTTTGTCATTAAAGATAATAAGGTATGTTGACATTTACCAGACAGTCCAAATAGTACCCAGCATTTATTGCAAGGTGCTGTGCAATTGTGTGGATTATCTATTGTACATGATGCACATGTAATGGACATTATAGTACAGTTAGTCAAAGTTCTCTTGGTGGTTTTTAATATCCTTTAAAATAATAGCATTTTAATTATCTTCAAAGAAAAAAATATAGTAGGCAATGATACTGTAACATGATGAAAACATGTTTGTAAGCATTCATTAAAAGTAGTGTGTAACCATGGATATATAAAATGTCTGCATTCATTAAATTCCTTTTCAAAGAAATTAAATCAATGGTACCCATCAGGTTTCCTGCATTTCCTATTGTTGGACAGGAAAACTGACTTATCAGTCCCTGACTAAGTAAATTCTTTGGGTTGCCCTTCAATAGTTTAATAACTCTGGTACCTATTTCACTGTTAAACAGGCATAAGTGTAACTAAATGTCTGGATTGACCCTGAAACCTTTTGGTTGTGAACTGACTACACTGAGCCACACGTGTAAAATTACTAGGGACTCTTCTGGAGGGTCGAATGATGTTGAACAATCTCATCCTACCACTAACTTTCTAAGATCCATTGGAGGGGGGAGGGATGGTCTTTGAATGTATTGGCCAGCCCCCCTTTCCTATGGTACTGCCTTCAGGAAAGTTTGGGATGTACTGTATAGTCGTAGTGGTTGGCTCTTTATCCTGATAAATTTAAATTGCGATGTGTTTTGGGAGAAGAGGTGGATTGAAACCCTCTTGCACAAAAATGCTAATGTTCATCTGTTAAAAAAATTAGCTCTGCAGTGTTCTACAATCCTTTTCCTGTTTACTTTCTTTTCTCCAGCATTTTGCATGGAGTGGATGTTAATGATTGTTCTATAGTAGTGTTTCATGTCGCCTTGTGGTGAGGGGCTTTGCCCCCTCTTTGGGTGTTGTACGTGCAGAAGAGCACCATGTAGGGTCCTGGAGTCATCGGATCGCCCGCTGGAAGGGTGTCCAGGCTGGGGCAAAAGGGAGAATGAGGTCTTTTCATCAGTGTGGAAGAATAGACGAAGCAGTAGGACTCTCGTTAAAAAGTGGGAGCACTGCTGGGGACAACTCGCCCCTTCCTTCACTGGCACGCGCTCAGTCCTCTAGCTGCCCTGGTGGGTGTTATTTCTTTGTTCCAGGCCAAAGACTTGTGGGGGTCGAAGTGATGATTCTCCTTCAACGGTGGCTCAAACTTGGGATTGATGCCATGTCGTCTTGGGCCACCAATCATGGCTTCATGTTCTCTTTAACTAAGACTTGTGCTATGACGTTTACTAGGAAGCAAGTCGTTCTTCGTCCCTCTGTGTTGCTTTATGGTCATCCTTGTGTACATAGATTCTGCTAAGATTTTGGGGTTAATCTTTGACACTTGTCTTGGTCGCCCCATATCTCTAACCTCGGAGTTGAATGCTATAAGGCCCTTAACCTACTTAAGGTTTTGTCCCATTATTCATGAGTTACACAAACTCATGAAACTAAGGAGAGTTACACACTCTCCCACATAGAGCTCCGCGACTCCGGCCACACTCGGCTCTCTGCACCAAGCTCCATCTCAACGTCTACAGCACTGCTGTATCCAGGACTACTAAATAAATATGAAACTCGCTGAACACTGTATCTAATCCACTCAACAACGTAACATAATCGTACGTTACACTACCATCGTAACTGGTGGTGGGAAACTGCTCTGGCCAGGTTGCGTATTGGCCATACACACTTAATTCACGGACACTTAAAAAACACTTTCCTCCCACGCGGACACAAAACTGGGACAACTATTTTTCTCTTGAATGTGAGCGCGCGACATTTTTTTTTTTTTTTTTTTTTTTGAGATATATACAAGAGTTGTTACATTCTTGTACAGCCACTAGTACGCGTAGCGTTTCGGGCAAGTCCTTAATCCTATGGTCCCTGGAATACGATCCCCTGCCGCGAAGAATCGTTTTTTCATCTAAGTACACATTTTACTGTTGCGTTAAACAGAGGCTACAGTTAAGGAATTGCGCCCAGTAAATCATCCCCGGCCAGGATACGAACCCATGACATAGCGCTCGCGGAACGCCAGGCGAGTGTCTTACCACTTACCATATGGAGACATATTTTTATGTCTGACGAACAAATAGTTCTATAACATTCAATTTTTATCCGATCGACTTGGGGATAGTATGAAGATGTTGACCAGACCACACACTAGAATTTGAAGGGACGACGACGTTTCGGTCCGTCCTGGACCATTTTCAAGTCGATCATACTTCAGCCACGTTATTGTGACTCATCGCCTGCCTAGTATGAAGATGTTTGCCCTAAAATTTACGTTTTCTCTAATAGCCACATAGCCTATTTGAGAGAACGGAATTGTCTTGTATCTTCGTGGTAAAACTATTGTATTGTTGACACAAGTGTAATCGACGAAGTTTCTTTATTTGGTGCCGGTCTAACGCATTCTTGTGTGACATTGTATACATATGTTCTTCTAGAACATTCTATTGCGAACACATTAGTACATTGGTACAAAAATGAAATACGTACATAGAAAAATAAGGTCAGGACAGTGAAAAGAATATTCACTTTTCAATACTGGTTTCGCCGATGTGCGGTAACGGGTAACACTTCGCCCACTTCCCACACTCTTGCGGGTGGGCCGCGATCATGATTCTACATTTATATGCATATTTATGTGTAGAGAATTTTATTGCGATCTCAGATACCAAATTTAACGCTGTAGGACAAGTGTGGAGTTGACAACCCTGTAAAGAATAGAAACATTTCGTCGCTGTTTGGAGCTCACGGCTAGTGATCAATGTAGTTCTTTATTTGGTGGTGGTTTAACTCGTGCTTTGGTGACATTTTATATATATTTTCTTCTAGAACATTATATTGCAAACACATTGGTATAAAAATGAAATATGTTCATCGAAAGTTAAGATCAAGACAGTGAAAAAGAGTATACACTTTTCAGTGTTGCCGCTCGATCGCCCGAAACGCCAAGAGCACTTTGCGCTAGTTCTTTTGTCGTTTGCCGGGAGGAGGAAAGTGTTTAATGGAGTGCCACCATGCTCCTTATTGTCCAAGTTGCACTGTCCCTCCTACAGTCGTGCATATCTTTGTTGAATGCCCTGACTTCCAGGACGAGTGTATCTTGCTCTCCGACCGTCCCTCGCGGTCACTTGTCTCTCGATAGAATTCTTGGTGAATCGGTTACTTTTGATATCGTTCGCCTTATGCGTTTCTGTTTTCAGATTGGCATCCTTAGTGATATTAGCGCCCTGTGATTTTTCCGCACATTTGATGGCGCTACATAGCCTTCCCGGCTTGGTGCCTTCTTTTGATAATTACTTACTTCATCGCCTTTCTTGAATATTGATCTACATTTGCCTGTTTTCTAGATTTCCAGTAGCTTTCCTGTCTAGTGTTAACATTTAACACTAGCTAATGGGTAACACAAAAATTAGGTTCCTTCAATTACCATGGTGGTAAGGTCCGGTCCTACTGCTTTTGCTACATCCAGTTCCTCCAAATGTTTTTTCCTCTTTCTCATATTAACTTATCTGGCTAGTGTTTCAGGCCATTTGCTGTCACTTCTTGGACACCAATCCAGTGGAGTAAAGCCCGTAGCTTTCTCCAATACTGCACGGCACTTACTTCCACTTACTGTGTACTCTTTCTAGTGTTCATCCACTGCCATGTTCTGTCCTTGTGTTCCCTAACAATTCCCCTGAGAATTCTGTATGTAGTGATTGTTTTCTCTCCCTCTCTCTTTCCATTGATTTGAAGTTTAATTTATGATCTTTACTTGCAGTTTAGGTGTACTCTACTTGCCTTTTGACCGGGACTTTTCGTGTGGCATATCTGTAATTTTCATATCATTAGTGGCATATCTGGTAAACTATTTGAATAGCAACATCTGAAAATGTGCAGACACAAAAATAGCAAGGAAAAATATTAAGAATACAAAATCATGAAAGGACGATCTAGATGTAACCGGTTCCATGGGTTTATAACTGGGTAAAAAAATGAAAAAATAAATCATGGATACAAGTTATATGAATGAGTTTGGGTGGTTTTAAATATAGGAGCTGCCTCAATTCAATTTCTTTCTTTATTATGCACCCCATACCCATTCCGTGGGCGGTGGTGTAAAGGATTGCAGAGGCACATAATCGGTTCAGGAACTGAACCCGTTTAGCTAAGTAAATAACAATTTTTGACGCTAGTTACAAAATTATTAATGTTATATATACATGCCTCATGGGCCAATAGGCCTTCTGCAGTTTGTTATTCTTATAATTCGTAATTCATTATGATGGGCTATGCAAGATTCCAACTACTTTAGGTGGTATGTCCCGGTAGTACAGTCTGGTTCATTCTCGACGCACAATCGAGAATTCCGGGTTCAAATCCCGGGCGGGACAAATGGTTGGGTGCATTTCCTATTACCTAATTCATCTGTTCACCTAGCAGTAAGTAGGTACTCAGGAGTCAGTCAGCTTGTGGGGTTGCATCTTGGGTGGGGTCAGTAATTCGACTTTGGAATGTGGTGGGGACCTCGATATAAGTATAACTTGTATGCATACACTGGCTGCTTGTCACTCTACACAATGAATTATATTACATCAAAGCAAATTTACCTTTTAGCAGTATATGTACCTTTTGTTACACCGAAATCACACTAGCGTGATATATATCAATGTGAAAAATCAACTGGATTTGATCATGTTTTGTAATACAACGCTTTGGGCTTAAATGCGGAATTAGCCAATATAATTATATTTTATTTTAGTGTAATAGGTTTAACAATTTAAATTAGGCGGGGTTATTGATCATTGTACACGCCATCTGTGGGCGGGTGCAGGAGTCTCGCATGACAACATTCCAGTGCAGGGAGGCTGGCTCGCCACCGCCGCTCTCACTCCTTACTCGCTCCTCTCTTTTTCCAATTTTCCTTGCGTCACGTGCGGTTGGTAAGCGTTGGCGCCGCGTCTGGTTAATTGTAGGCTGCAGCTGTTTGTATCTTTGACGTGAGCTCAATTTCTACCTCATAAAATGGCGGTAAGTCATGTAGGCAGCCTTATTACTGACTATTTTGTTGTTTGTGTTTCTTTGTTGCACTAGAAAGGAAAAAAAACACGAAATTACAGAGCCACATTAATTATGTAGCCATGAAGCTCACCGGTTATTGATAATTAATTTGTAATAATCCTTAATTGAGACAACATAAATTATTGGTTTGTCATTCAAAACAAGAGAACTGCTAACAGTTGACCTGACACTTGTATGGTTGCTGCTTATCTTGACTACCTTGTCACTTTGTCCGCTGCCAATTCTTCCCCTAACTTTAGATTAGATTATAATTGTAATAATTCATGTTGATGGGGGCAGGAAGCTTATGTATGTGCCTTAGGTGTATATAGAGTCCCATCCCCCATCCTACCCCCAAGTGTTGTGACTACTGACCCTACCCGGGATGCAACCAACACAACATTAGGTGAAAGGAAACGTGCCAAAACATTTGTCCCACCTAGGAATTGAACCCGGGATCCCCCCCTATTGTGAGTCAAGAATGAAGCCAACTGTACTACTGGTAGGGGTCAAACTGATAAGGTGGGAAGATGACTGCCAATCATTTGTACTGCCTTGAGTATACACGAATCCTGTGCAGTATGTATATGCTGCAAAACAGCATTACAGTACAGTACTTTATTTTGTTAACAAGATGATGCTTAGGCATCCTGCAGACTCCTGGGTTGTTGACACTGGGCTAGGCTATACTCATGTAAATTATTTCATATATAAATTAAAAGGATGGTCATTATCACAGTAAAGCAAAATTGTAAAAATGTTGGTGTTTACCACCTGACAGCTGAGTGGACAGCGCTTCGGATTCGTAATCTTGAGGTTCCGGGTTCGATCCCCGGTGGAGGCGAAGAAAAATGGGCAAAAAGTTTCTTTCACCCGAATGCCCCTGTTACCTAGCAGGAAATAGGTACCTGGGAGTTAGACAGCTGCTACGGGCTGCTACCTGGGGGTGTGTAACAAAAAGGAGGCCTGGTCGAGGACTGGGCCGCAGGGACGCTAAGCCCCGAAATCATCTCAAGATAATCTCAAGATACATAGACTTACAGTACATTCATAATAGTACAGTGGATAGGCATAATATAATTAATATGAATTACAAACCTTCCCTTTGAAAAAAATTAAATGAGCTTAATTTACATTCTCTAGAAAGACATGCAAGGTTATCTTGAGGCTATCTTGAGATGATTTCGGGGCTTAGTGTCCCTGCGGCCCGGTCCTCGACCAGGTGACCAAAATTATTCTGAAATTAATTCACCAGGATGATCTGAAGATTACAGGACTAACTGCTTTTCAAATAAGACATGACAGGGCAGGTTTCATAGAAGTACATTTCAGATAATGAACAGGATAGCACCAGCAAATTGTTCAGGATGTAAAATACTTTGACGGACACTAGACCAAAATTTATTTCCAACAAGAGTCGTCATAGTGAGAGAGGTGAGGTCTGCACCTACCCAGGAACCAGAGAGTAAAGGCACGTTCATATTGCTACTTGGAATGTGAGAAGAATGCGTTGGGGACAGGTTAAAATATTGCCAAAGATTTTAACGATGGAAAGTTTGATGTTCTACGTTTAGGAAAGTCTTGGCTAAAAGGAAACAATAATGAAGACCTGAATGAAGTGATGTTATAAAAACAGGAGTGAAAGAATATTAGAAAAGTATAACAGGATTATGGCTCTTAATGAAGAGTGTGTGTTATAGGGCAATAAATTTCTCCTCTTGCTGCAGTTCAAATACTAGTAGTTTGTGGTTTGAGAATCAAGTTAGAATGAGTGATTGTTATTACATTTATACCATGTGATGAGAAGTGAGAGTGAAAGAGTTTATATGGAGTAACTTAGTGAAAGAGATCAGTATTATCTATGAGTTATAAAGTACAGGTAGTTATAATGGATGATCTGAATGGTCAGGTGAAGGTGCTGAGAATGACAATGGATAGTAATGGGGTCCAATGAAAAACAACAATGTGCAGTATATTAAAATATTTATGAAATAAAAGGGAGTATATATATTACTGATACTCTACATATTTAAGCGTAACAATTATACATACAGTACTTGTCAAAAATATGCGCTGCCATGCTTGAGGCAGCGCATACTTACGGCAGAAAAGGATTGATAGTCTTCTGTGCGAAATGTTTGAGACAGAAATATGTACTGTACTGGGCACATGACGTCATGGCGCCCACTAGCTCCCTAGAGCCACATACTTCTGAGGCTTAGTTGCCCTGGGTATTTATAGTGAGTGGTTGTGTTGCGTGTCTCGCTCTGGTACCGTGTCATGTTTTATTGTAGTTAAGTGGTGTTGCTGGTATTATGTTATCCATGTGGCACTTAAAGGTACTAAGCAAAGAAACCATTGCTCAGATCATTGCTTTGAAGGATGCATGACACCAAATGAAGGAAATGAGTTGGTTGGTTGGTGTGGCTGAGTCAACAATAGGAAATATTGTGCCTGTTTCAAGGGTCTTTTTCTTTTCTTCCAGGAAGACTTTTTCAAGGTCTGTAAATTTTCAAAATGTTCATTGGAGAGTACCCCCTTGCATTACAATGAAGGGGTACTTAACAATGAATGTTTTAGAATGTTTAGTCCTTGAAGAATTCTTTCTAGGACAACCTTTGAAATGTTCACAATACAGTACTTCCTACTGTTGACTCGGCCTCACCAGTCAGCAAACTTATTTCCTTCATTTGGTGGCATGAATCCTTTAAAACAATGTTCTGATTAAGCTCTTGTGAGTAAAATGTTACACTGAATCAGATTCCTGTTCTCACAAAGTTTTCTTACCATATTATATTGTACTGTAGTGTGATCTAACCTTGTGGAAATTTTGGTATGACTTAGTCTGTGTATGTTTGCTCTTCAAGTTTTGCTTAAATATCATCACTGACACAATTTGAAGGTGTGCTGATATTTTTATTTTATACAGTATAATTAATGATTGTCATTTATAACTTAAGTGCTAGATGAGCAAGTACTGTTATAATTTGTGTCATTCCTGATTCTTAGCCTGACAAAGATAGAGAGACAGTCTTGAAGGACAGGGAAAATGTTCGAGTGGTGGTACGAGTTCGCCCACTGAGTGAGAAAGAAACCCATTCCGGCTATAAGAGTATGGTGGAGTGTGATGATCTCAACTGCTCTCTCCTAGTCACCAACCCTGATGCACAGGCTGGTGAACCTCCCAAAGTCTTCACCTTTGACTCCGTCTTTGGCCAAGATTCAAAACAGGTAAAAGGCTCTTTATAATCATTCTTTGGTTTTCTTAATTTGTAATTGGGAAAACAAATTATAATTGATGCCTGGTGACATATTAACTTGGTTATTTGTTTGAGGCTGTTTTGGCAGCACAGGGATATCTTGATTTATTTGGAATGACTGGCTCCAGATGTTCTCATTTCATTAGTTTTTCATTTGAATATTTAAAGTTTTTAGTATTGTAAATTCTGATTATCAGGATTATCTTATTGTTTGGTCACCTAATTTATTGCAACATTCAATTACCAGAGGTAATCTTTCCGATGCATCTGATATTGAATTTTTCTGGGTTCTGTTCAGTTAAGTTGCCAATGTTGCTGAATACAGTAACATTACTGTAATACTGTACTTAAGTTTGTAGTATAGCTTGAGAATAGTTTCACCTTGTAATGGGGTGTGGAAGATTTTTTCTCCTTCAATAACTTTTTTTTTAATTAATTTTCTCAGTTCAGTAATTGCCTTTTTTTTCATTTTCCTAATGTACAGTACTGGAAATTTATTACTCAAATTTTTTAAATATTTAATTACCATACTGTATTAAGATTCACACTATTTTTCAGGTTGATGTGTATAATTTAGCAGCCCGCCCCATCGTAGAGAATGTGCTTGAAGGATACAATGGAACTATATTTGCTTATGGGCAGACTGGCACAGGCAAGACTTACACCATGGAAGGTGTCAGATCGGTCTCAGAACTCAAAGGCATCATTCCAAATTCATTTGCACATATATTTGGGCACATAGCAAAAGCTGAAGAAGATAAAAAGTAAGAATTGTTACTATATTACATGCTCAGTGTGTTTCATTGCTTTGGTGATAGATATGTTTTTAATTTTGGTCAGCCATGGGCCAAAGGCGAAAATAACATGGCAGGTGCTGCCATTGAGGAAGTGCTTGCCAGTATCTATGGAGAAGTGAGCCATAGTTCTGGGGCTCTGGCTCGAAGTTATTGTATCTGGTGCTTTTACACTTTTTGGTGGTCTAATGCTTTGTTATACTTTCTCTTAAAGTTTTGAATTGATATCTTCTACAACTTTTGCTTCAAGTGTGTTATATTGCTTATCTCCAAGACTAAATATTTCATTGTTCCTGTAACTTGCATGTGTGATAAATTGCTAACTGTGTCCACCTTGAAGGTCTATCATACCTTCATTCATCTAAAAAAAAGACTATCTACTTCATGTATTCCTCTTGGTACCTTATTTGTTGTAAAGTTTATGAACATATCACATCTTGTCTGTTTTCTAATGAAGTTCTCTTAACCTGTTGTTATAGTTCACCTCCAGTGCCCCTTTCCACTTTCTTTTCCTATAGCTTGAGTCTATTTTTTTTTTGTCATATAGCAAACGATTCTTTCTGTGATGGTACGATTCTTGCCATTATCCCCTTTCACTTATTTCCTTGAAAAATGCCATTTGCAAGGACTATATGCTGTAATTGCCAAGCTAGGAGGCAAGGGCACAAGGACCTAGTGGAAGGATACAAGTCCTATATGGACCATAATGGATGTGGCTTAGTGAGCATCTGAAGTTAGTAAAGCTAATTAACAGGAGAAAGTGCTGGGCCATTATGACTATAGTAGTAGTAGGCATCCATCAGTCTCGGAAGACTATGTAGCACTTGAAAGGAATATGAAGATAAGGATTTAGGATAACGGAAGAAAGGAATGATGTCCAGTCACTTGTATGGTCAGGGATTGAATGCCAACCTGCAAGAAGCAAGGCTGTCACTCACAACACCCCATCTATTCTTTCTACTTATTCTTTCATTGTTCCCCAGTACCAGTTTTGTTGCAATATTACCAGGGTTCCCATACTGTCAAAGGTGGGTTGGTCATCTGAATTCAAGAATTCAACCTTTAGTACTTAGCCATTATATCTATATTTACTTGTACTATACAAGTATATTCCCCTAGTGGGCATATAATGATACAGTATCTTGGCTTCTGATGTTGATTTGGATTGCACCTCAATTTGGTTTCATGCTGTAGTTCCATTAATTTTGGTTTACTTTACTCCCAGTACAGTTCTCTCTCTTTTACAGTACACTTACTGTTGAAGATGTAATAGTTTAACTACTTAAGGAATATTCTACATGGAGCAAAGTGGAAAGTGGTGTTCTCAGGGAAAAGGTGTCGGTGATAATGTAAATTATTCAAAACAAAATCTTGATAAAGTTTGCTTTTGAGAGTACAGTATTGACTATAAGTGGTCTAAATGTGTTCACAATTTGTGAACGTAAAATTCATTTATTGCAGTTTTCTTAATCATAGTGCAGTACGTCATACTTGAGAGCAGTCTGGAGAGTTCTTTTTACAATATCTGTTAATTGTGATTATATTTTGTTCTATTTGTTTGTCAACATTTAAATTTATGAATTGTCTGATTTGTTTCAGATTTTTAGTACGAGTGTCATATTTGGAAATATACAATGAAGAAGTCCGTGACCTTCTTCGACAAGATCAGTCTGTGCGTTTGGAGGTAAAAGAACGACCCGATGTAGGTGTTTATGTGAAAGACCTTCTTACCCATGTTGTTCACAACGCTGATGAGATGGACAGGATCATGACTCTTGGAAATAAGAACCGTAAGTGGTGGGAGTTTAGCTTTCTGTTTGTTTTGATCACATTGAATGCATAGATGGTGTAGAGAGCACACTTGAGTGAATTTATGGGGAGGAGGAGATGAAGGCTGGAGAGATTACTAAATATGGTAAGAGTGGAAGTGGAGGTTGAGTGTGAATTGTGCATGCCGTGCACTTATGCCATTTTTGGTTTATTTAATACAATTAATGGGAATCTTTCCATTTGCAGGAGCGGTAGGAGCAACAAACATGAATGCCCACAGTTCCCGATCACATGCAATTTTCACAATCACAATAGAGTGTGCTGAGAGAGGGTTAGATGGCAAACAGCACTGGCGAGTTGGTAAACTTCATTTGGTTGATCTTGCGGTGAGTTGTTATTTTCTTATAATATTTGTATTCTTTATTCTATGTATTTCAGCATTATAATACATGCTGTCTCATGTTGTTCTCTGGAAGCACTCGGTTCCTGGCCTTCCTCAACAATTGGTTACTCTGGGCTTCCAGTTGTCATGGCCTGCTGGCCATGGACATTAAGCTGCAAATATTTTGTAATGGTTTTCAATATTTCCATAATTCTATTTCACTCATTTGCAATGCCTCCCTTGGTTGGGTCAGTTTGGGATACCAAGACTGCATTCCTCTCTTAGAGACTGCCTTGTGTTAGCATGCCTCAGATCTTCGTTGGATCCCTAGGAGGTGCAGGATGTCCTGTCAGGATATGTTTTCTGGGGTGACCGAACTGTGTGTGTATTGTATATTGTCCCCATTGACTCAGAGACACTTGGTGCCTGGGGTAGAAGTGCTGCAAGTTTTTTGAAGGAACTGGGGTCCAAGCTAAATGAAACAACTAGAGACCCTACAGCCGCCAGTTTTCTCTTTCAGCGCCTTAGTGTGGCGATCCAGAGAGGAAATGCTCACTGCATCCATGGTTCCTGCCCGCCATCTGAGGAGCTGGAGGAGCTGTACAACTTGTGACAAGTAGTCTTGTACCTCGCATGTAACCAATGTTGTAACCCTTTTTGTGTAATGAAATTTTAAATAAAGTTAGATATATATACATACACACACACACACTAAAAGAATAGGGGTGGTAGGGGAAGAAAATATCAAAATGTTCAGTGAGGATCTACAAGGTCTTCTCTGAGTACTCATTATTTTCTTCTCCAAGGCTATGGGTCCCTACACATGCACCAGAGGTGGTACCCCTTTGCTATTTTGTATATTGTATACAGTATCTGGGCAGGTTGTGACTTGAGGTTTCTCCTATCAGTAGTTTACAGCAGTTTCAGGGATCAACTTGTTTGTGTCACTATTGCACTCCATAATTTTCTGCTTTTTAGGTTTTACAGTGTCTTGATTTTTCAGTGTTTATTTCCATGGCAGCTTCCCGCTCCATTGTGCGAGCTGTTTGCCAATGTTCCCTGAGTGGACTTAGTTTTTGGCACCAGCTTTCATCACTACACCAGTCAAGAATTCTGGTTTTCAATGTTACTATGCGCTAACTTCAAAGTAAAGAAAATAATGATGATTTAAATGGCACCTTCATGTGTCTCGCTTACTTGATGCATTGGTCTATGATTGCACAGTAGTGGGAGGTAGTAGGAGTGTTCTTTCCAATCTCTCCTGTTGTGACACTGGACTTTAACTGTAACCTCTTTTCTGGGTACTCAAGTTTTTACCCTCGGTGCAGTTCATATTCGGGGTATCTTGAATGTGCTCATAGATGACCACTCGCTTTTGTCTGATTGGGGTAAAATGGGAGGTGGGTGAGTCTTTTTCCTCTTTGGTTTTGAAACATATTTGGCCTTTCCCAGGTGGCACTTTTCACTTCCACTTGACCAATTGCAACTGTAAATTGGCCAAAACAATATTACATAGACATTGTTACAAAATTATTCATGGAGCAAAATATTCAATCTTGGTGAGTGGCCTAATGCTGCTTCTATTTTTGTGCAGTATTTTCTTTCCAAAATAATTCAGGAGGACGGGAGGGTAATGCCCCTTACTCGACTAAAACTCTGTGTTCGTCCCCTCGTAGTCCCAAGGCTTTTGGACTAAGGGTTGTTGGTCACCATATTCATATTAGGTTTTGATGTCAAATTACCTCTCTGCCAGTAATTTACTGTGATATTCATTAAGACAGTTTCTGATCATGAACATTATTGTGTTTTTATAGGGCTCTGAGCGACAGAGTAAAACTGGAGCAACGGGTCAGAGATTGAAAGAAGCCAGCAAGATTAACCTGTCCCTTTCAACTCTTGGGAACGTAATATCAGCTCTTGTTGACGGAAGGTCAACACACATTCCTTATCGTAATTCAAAACTCACCAGACTTCTCCAGGACTCATTAGGTGGCAACTCTAAAACTGTCATGGTAAGTACATTGGAAATACTGTATTTACATTATAGCAGCATGAGTAAGGAACTTGTCGTAAATATTAATTTCAAATTTTTTCTTCCATTTTTTTATCTTCAAAAGTTTGAATACTATTTCTACCTGTTTGGTCTAATATTGAGATAATATTTGTGTTACTCTAAAGCTGAATTTCATTATTACATCTGTTATTAATTATATTTGTTGTATTTTTACATGGATAATTAGTGTGCCAATGTTGGGCCAGCCAGTTACAATTACGATGAAACCATCAGTACCCTCCGGTATGCTAATCGTGCCAAGAACATCTGCAACAAAGCCAAAATTAATGAGGACCCTAAGGATGCTCTTCTCCGTAAACTTCAAGATGAGATTAAGTCATTAAGAGATCAGCTAGAAGGTAAATACTAATAATGAGGTAAACAGTAAATAATTCATCAATTTACTACCTATTTTATAATTTGCTCGAGGTAGTAAGACATCAGGCCGGGAGAAATTGGAAGGCAAATGGCGACAAAAAGACGCTAAAGTTATAAACAAAATCAATGTTTATTTTCCTAGATGGCAATTATTACCCCATTTCCCATTTAATTGGGTGGGATGTAATTTCTTTAAAATAGGAGAGTGATGTAAAAAAAAGAGGTTTAAATGTTAAAAAAAAAATATTGATGGCTCTTGCATAGTTTGTAAGTAAAAGAGACATTAAAATGAATATGTAAAAATTTAAATTGAAGAAAACCTTAGGTTAATTGGAAAGTCAGAGACAGTTCTGCCAGGATAAGGGAGTGTAGATGTAGGTGAGAAATATCTAAGGAATAGTGAAGTGCATTTATTTTGACATTTCATTAGGAAACTTTACATATACTGACTTGATATTGTTCTCACCATACATAGCTACTTTACTTTTTGTTTAAATTATATTCTTAGATTGGTGGGGCAAGGGCTCTAGTTTGTTTGTGAAATTGTTTAAAAGGTGACGTGGGCAAAAACAGTATCATATCTTTGATTTAAAAGAAGTTACACTTTATAGATGAAGATGAAACAGATGACTCTGAAGAGGAGGAAATGGAAGGAGATGAGAAACCAAAGAAGAAGAAAAAGAAGCTGAAGGAGGAGGAGGTAAGGCTTATGGTAGTGTGTGGAGGACAGGTGTGATAGTGCCAGTTAACCCCATCACAAGCAAATGATTTAAGTAAATACACTGGGGGATAACATTGCTACCATTGGCAGTATTTATGGCTCCTCTAATATAGAATAAAACAGATGATTTTAATTTTTTATTGTTCAGTATGAGGAAACTTAAAATGAAATTCTTCAAGGCACTTCCTTAGCACTGGCAAGATTTGGGTGGTTGAATTGCTGATAACACTGTAGAAAAATGTCAGCTTTGAGTAGACTTTACTGAAGATCACATACCACATTTAAGGGCTATATCAAATTTAATAGAGATGCACTAAACTTGTTTCTTGAACATTTGTTAACAATGAAAAATGCCAAGGAGTGCCTTCTTATTGACTCACTAACTGTCCCCGTCACTTGACTCTTAAAAGTTCTATGAAACTTTTGAATCTAAATTGCAACTTAAGAAATGCACAACTTTAGAAACTCGAGGCTGAAACACTACCCATGACATTACAGCAGCAATCTTGGGATTCACTGAAACAGAATGATTTGAGAGTGGATAGTAAAGTCGTACTTTCATAAATGGATGGTTAACTTCAACTTGTTGGCTTTGGTTTACGGGATACTAGCATGCAAGAAATATTTGAAACCTGCTTAAGGGGTGCTGTAGGAACACTTTTACCAGGGAGATTTTCTCTAATTACTTTAGTGCTTGATTGACGGTGAATGTGTAGCCTGGACGGGTGATAAAATATTTGAAATTTGACAAGAAGGAACTAGCTAGAAGCAGTTTCTTTGTGATTTTAGTTTATCTAATGTAGTCCTATAGCAGTTTTGCTGTTGATCACCAGTTAAACTTAAGGACCCATAACATATGTGAATGTTAATTTATTAAATTTTGGTAATCACAGATGAGCAAAAGATTTTATGGACAGTATTTTTGCGATGGAACTTGGCAGCGGCATCAAGTTATTGATTATTTATTGTAATGCATTATAAACTTTTAATTTTCTTTTAGGTTGCAGCCATACGAAAAAAAATTGAAGAGGAACGCAAAATGCTTGCAGAACGAAAAGATCTTGAAGAAGAAGAAAGAAATAAAGTCAAGAATGATTTGGATAGACACGAGAAGGAAGTAAAGAAGGCATTGTGAGTATTTCTTGTCAAAGCTGAAATTAATTTTGCAAGGATAAATTGCTTAAGTGTTGCTGAATATTCTTGCTTTGATGATGCAATATGCAATACTCAATTTATCTCAGGCGTGAAGCAGATGCACAATGTGGGGAGGGGTACTATTAAAGTATGTATAAATAGTAATCCTTATTTTTCTTTTTACCATGCAATGAAGCAATAAAGTGCATATTAATTGTATGCACAAATGTTCAATAACTACTGATTTTCATGAGTGGATTTAATTTTTTGTTCTTTTACTTGTGTATATTTCAGAAAGGAACAAGAAGCTCTAAAACAGAGATTACAAGGCCTAGAGCGGAAGATTCTAGTCGGAGGAGAGAATCTCTTGGAGAAGGCAGAAGAGCAAGAACGGCTTCTGGAAGAATCTGCCAAAGAACTAGAAGAAAGGAGGAAGCACGAGGAGCAACTTCGCCATGCTATTACACAGAAAGAGGCGAGTGCATATAAAACTTGACCTAATGTTAACCTGGCAGATAGTAAACCTTATGTGCAAATTGGGAAACACTCTCAATCTGTTTTGTTATATTCTCTGAGTAACATAGCATTGGGGTGGTGGAAGGACAACATAGCATGGGGAAGAAGGAAGGGCAACATAGCATGGAGCAGGAAGGTGGAAGGATAATATAGCATGGGGGAGGGGAAGGTGGAAGGGCAACATAGCATGAGGAAAAGGCATATAGCATAGTGTGGGATAGTTGGAAGGCCAACAAGTGAAAAGGTTCAGTAGTGGCAGTAGTAGACATCCTTCAGTCTCGGAAGACTATGGAGTTGCGCCCTGACAGGGCGCAAAGCCTGGGTAGGTAGATATGGAGGAGAAGCTGTTACCCATGCAGCAGGTCCCCCCCTCTCTACATTGCTGAAAATATCCAATAGAAAGGCAAATGCCAATACACATGGTTCCAGCAACGTCGCAGGAGCTGCCAGAACGATGTCAACGTCAACAACGAATTGCCTTAGGGGCTCCAACTCCGGATTTTTCCTTGAGGTTGACTCCTGAAGCCTTTCCCAAAAAAGGGGTATGACCGCAAGGCAGTGGATGTTTAAAATCAGGGGTTTCCTTCAGTAGTGGTAGTTTAAGGATAATCATTGATATGATGTATTGCTGTATACTGTAATTTAAGTGTGAATAATAAACAGGAGAAACACTGTATGAGCAGAGAGCAAAAGTGAGAGAATTAGTGTATGTATATAGGTAGGTAGTCATGCAAAGGTATATCAAGTGCCAATATTTAATGCCCAAGCCCTGCAACTCCTGTAACTAACAAGCATCAATTAATTTACTGGCATACAGTTATTGTGACTTAGTTAATATTTATTATTAGTTATCTGTCCATGAATGTGAAAATTAGCGTATATGCTTAACTGAATAGATGAAATGCATACCTTTCATATCAGGCCGAGCGGATTGATTTAGAGGAGCGGTACACAAGTCTCCAGGAGGAGGCTGCTGGCAAGACACGTAAGCTAAAGAAAGTGTGGACTCTCCTGATGGCTGCCAAGTCAGAGTTGGGAGATATGCAAGCAGAACATCAGAGAGAGATGGAGTCACTCCTCGAGTCGGTGCGACACCTGTCACGTGAACACAAGTTACACCAGTTAATCATTGATTCATTTATTCCTCTTGAATATCAGGTAGGGGTTTATTTTCCACGTACTGTACCATATATATATGTTAATGGCTAACCACACTTATTTATATCTGACATTTTCTTCCACCTGTGCAATTACTTTCAACTCAAATACATATTATTTTCCCATTCTAATTTTTCTTTTCCATCATAATTCCATTGCTTCTTTTTCTAGATTTTTATCATTCCTTCTTGCACATTCCCATCTCCATTCAGCAAAAAATTGCCATGTTTCTTTGGACCTATTACTACTACTACTACTACCATTTATATAAAGCAGTAAGTCTATCTCTTCTTACAACCACTGGACATGGGAAAAGCCAAGGATGGGATACAGAAATTTTTAATAGAAAGTTAATTTTCTCTTATATAATAGTTTGTCCTTGTCAGAGAGTGAGTGGAAATTGGGGGATATACAATGACTGTGAAGTGAACTCCTATCTTCTTGAGTAGGTCATTTATGTGATCAGTTTTTTTAAATTTCAAATGTATTTACAAAAAAAAGTGGTGCAGGGAATGTTCATGAAAGGATAATACAGTACATATACTGTATGACCATTGATACATTTGTTCTGTTGCATTGATTGTGACATCAACCCAACTAGACTTGCCAGAGTGGAATACCTCGCCTTCAGGTAACTGTTAAATACTGCTGTACAACAGTTATAAATTACACGCGTGCGTATAAATATAAGTGCAGATTATGTTAACTGTGATCATATCATTGTTTGGTGTTTAGTTAATGTTTGTCTTTTGGACAATTTCACAGGAAATGATTGAGCGTTATGTTCACTGGAATGAAGACATCGGAGAGTGGCAGCTGAAGTGTGTGGCTTACACAGGGAACAACATGAGGAAGCAGCTGGATAATGGGGATGCTGAGAAAGAGAATCAGGTAAGTTAGATCAGTACTGTACCTGTATGAATATTGTATGCAGTATATTGATTACTCTATCGTCTGAGAGTTGCTATATTCATTTCTGATGATGAAGATGGTTTGTATTTAACATTAAGGCATACAGTGCTGTTTATAGTAATAATATTATAAAGGCCAGTTATCCTTCTAATTATTTAACTTCTGGTACTATATTGACAATTTAATATTAAGGTAGACAACTAGTTTTCTTTTATTAATAATTAATTGTTAATATGCATCAGCTGTAGTGGTTTTGGAAGTTTATTTATTATAAAATAATGGTGTAGAAATTACAATTGAAAATAAAAACTATAAATTAGATCTGGTAAACAATTTTTAGGATGGGGTGGGGGGGTTGATTTAGGAAGTTTGATGTTGGATTGTTAATTAAATCTACTGAAAGGAAGTATAATATGATACTGAGACTGGCAGCATGTTGAAATTTAAGCTTGTCCACTGTCTAGTAATTGAAATTTGTAGTGTGGCTTGCATGCATGCAAAATTTTGAGTTAATTTTGTGATTTAGAAAGAGACCCATAACTAGAGTACATATTTATCAGTTTTCTTGAGCTTCATCCAAGTACTGTACTCACGTGTCCTTACCAGAATACTTCCTAAGATTGGTTCTTATACACCTTGATCAGTGGCTAGGTTTACCTCTTGTTTATTATATAAGCTTCGACTCTACCTTTTACAGATTTTTATATTCTCCTAGCTAGAGCTGTGCGAGTGAAAGTTTTTTTGTGTGTGTGTGTGTGTATGTAGAAATTGGATGCTTTTTAAGGGCTTTGTGGTAGATGTTATTACTGTGGTTGTTTTGTTAGAGAAAGTAGAAAAGGACATTGAGAACTTATTGAACTCTGAAAATAGTTTGCTCTATGTAAGCAGGGTTGCAGTTTTAAGTTTACCTTGGTAAACCTAACAAGATAAAGAAAGATGGACATGTTTTGTGTAGGTAATTCTTGAAACGATGAGTGATTTTGAGTGAATTTAAAGATAGAGTGAGAGATGGGCTAACGTGCTAGAGTAGAAGTTTTGATGAATTTTACTTGTATATAATACAAATTATAGAATGAAAAAAATTAAGAAGATCAAAGTGAGTGCAGTAGGGCTAGAGGGGATGAGAACACACAAATAGGAACAGTCCTTTATATTGTATATAGCTGCATGCACAGTACATATATCACTATATGGTTATATACTTTGAGAATAAAAAACTGATATTGCATATTAAATTTGGTTAACAGTTATCACAGAGGAAAGATGAGGTGAAGTATATGATTTTTTAAAATGAATTTGTGCATTGTAAATAGTTTTAATGCATTTTTGAGTTCTTCCTTTGATGACTTGGAATAATAAAGGACACATCTTGTGTATTCAGAATGCTGATTTATATTTTAAATACAAATGTTGTCATTCTAATTGATGCTAAATAATTCTGGTTCTTCACCTAAAATTTACATAATTTAAGAAGTTCTTAAAAAAACTAAATTGTAAATCATTTATTTTTAATATCTGATACGAAGCTTCTGCTTATGTTTACTGAATGTTCATGTTCTTTTGTTCAACCCCACCAGTTCTTTATCTTTCACCTTTATATATTGATGTGGATTGAAGCCCAGTAATATTCTGAATATGGGTACAGACAAGAGCATGAAGTTAAATTAATATGGTTATAGGTTGAAACATGGACCTGATGATTTATGTATTTAGAACAGTAGATTATTTCCGATTCTCTGGTTAGATAACACACATGCGTACAAACCTACATATGCACCACACACAACACAGGCATACATGTAGACTGAAGCACTTGGATACATATATAGTCTATGCAATATTATGTACTGATGTAATGCAGTGTTAGGTAAGTTCCGTGGATAGTCCCATATTGTGGGGAGCATACATGGGAGTGTATATTGTACCTTGATAGTCCATGCATGGTCAAATCTCACACTCCCTGTCCTGGCTTGCTCATGATTTACAGTGTTGGTCTGTTGCATGAGTGGCTTTGAGTGCATATATTCACATACAGTATTTACATATAATATTTTTGCATACTTTATATAAATATCTTCCATTTTTGGTGTATTTATTATTATTTATTTTGAGTAATATCTAGAACTTTTTTGTAATAGTCAGCTCTATAATTACAAAGTTATAAGTACAGACAGTTTATAACCAAAAGGTCCAGATTTGATTCCCACACAAGATGGAGACTTTAGGCATGTTTCCTTACACCTGATGCCTCTGTTCACCTTGCAGTAAATAGGTATGGCAATTGTTTTGCGTTGCATCCTGGAGAGCGTCAGTTATTGGCCCAGTGGGACAATAAGCCTAATAGGCTTCCTGTCCCTGACAATAGGAAACCATATGTGTTTGTATATAAAAAGTATTTGGAGGTTAAAGTCATATGCAGTTTTGTGATGAAGACTGACTGTGGCTTTGATCTCTAATTCTGGGAACTGCAGTGACTTGCAGTAAGAGAACTATGCAGCTAAAAAACATTACCACTTATGTTTATATGCCAATAAGAGTTTGTAACCACTTCAAAAGTGAAGTGTGTGCGTGATACATTAGTTTGCTTTTTAGAAAATTATCCAAGCCTCAACCAACTTGGAATCTTGTACATGCTGAAAGTTTCCCTCTGAAAAATTTAGAATGTTAATACCGGTATATCTGTCATATAAATGAAGTGTTTGTACCCTCAGAAATTATAATTTAAGCAAATAAGAATAAAGGTTGAATTATTTAATGATTTGTTGAAAGATTAATATCAATTTTGGTTGGATAGTACATTCTATGTTTTGCAGAAGCTTGTGTGTTTGCTGTATGAATCACCATGACAGTTATACCTGGTATTATGGGATATGGACCTGCAGTCTCTAGCGTCTTCTCGGCCAGTAGCTTTAGGTATACTGTACTGATTTTCAAGTACACTTGTGCATTTACATCAATGGGGGGGGGGGTAGTGTTTTTCAGTATACTGTATGGTACAGGTGTGTACTGAGTATGTGCGTGAACACAACACAAAGTGCTGACAGTAATGTAGAGAAGCACAAAATTGTGAGTAGATTTTTATTGAAGATGACATTTTCCCTATAAGGGATTAATCAAATCTAAGAGATGCACAGGTTAGATCTGATATTATAGTGGAACAAAAACCCATATGAAATATATTTTGTAATTCTCTACCATTTTTGTTTTTGTTTTTGTATTTCTTTGTATTGTCACTTTTCACTTGCTCATCTACTAGATTGCGGGTGGAGAGGATGAGGAACAAATTGTTACTATTGTCACCGAGAGGGGTGTGGCGATAGTCAAGAGTGGTAAAGGATGGAGGCAGAATTGTTATTGGGATCACTAATTTGGTGTAGTTTAGGTGTTATACCAAAAAAACATCCAAAATTCAATAAAATATTATTTTGGCTGTTCGCTCAATTAAGATCGTAATAACCGTAGGAGGCCTGGTCGAGGACTGGGTCGCGGGGTCGCTAAGCCCCGAAAACACCACAAGGTAACCTTGGACATGGATTGTGTAGTCAGGCAGAGGTGACATATGGTATGGTGCTGATGGAAATTTTCAACTGCTAAACAAATGCTTGCACTATCAGTCCCCATGGCGAAGTAGTAAGACACTTGCCTGGCATTTCACGAGTGCTTGGGCTTGGGTTCGTATCCTGGCAAGGGAGGATATACTAGGTACCAATCCTTAACTGTAGCCTCTGTTTACCCAACACTATAATGGGTACCTAGTTGTTAAATGATTTGGCGAGTCATACTCCGGGGAAAATTATCATTAAGAGCTTGCCTAAAATGCTATGCATGCTAGTGGCTGTACAAGAATGTAAGAACTCTTGTATATATAAATAAAGCAGGTTTTCAGCACCATACCCACCTCTGGGTCCACTGGCCCGAGCCAGCTCACATTCTTCTTGGCTGTCATCTGTTGTCGTAAAAAAGCTAGGATCAGTTTTCAGTTGAGTTAGACTTTTTTTTTAATTTTGAAATATAATTTGTTAGTGCGTCATGTTTAGATATATGGTAGTATGGTCTAATAGTAGTACAGTATATTATTTAGCTTTATGAGTGTTGTTACCAGTCTTTGCTTGTCCTGTTCTACTGGCTTGTGCTTTAGTTTAATACCAGTGTGGAAAGTCGTGGCTTAGGTCTCTCATATGTACCACTATTCATGATTCTTTGGTATTTTAACAAGGGTTGCAGGTGTTTGAGGCTGTTCACTGAGTACGACTGGTTGTTCCTCACCTGTGTAGTGTAGTAATGGAACATTCTGTTACCTGTTCTTTATTTTTAATTTATTTTTAATTTATTTTATGACCACTTGCATACTGACAGGTTAGGGATGGACACTTGTTACGGCAACCACGTGTCATCCTCAAACTACAGTCAGTTGAAGCAGACCAGATGATCTGCCTCATTAGCCTCTATTAGATCTTTGACTTTTGTTGCATCTTCTAGTGCTGGGTGTTATGGTTTATAGCACTGTGGCAGTTGGAAACAATATCCCTGGTGCATTGTGGAGGAGTGCTGTACACAGTTTTATGAACACTTGTGTTTATAATTTCTCATTCCTACGTTCCTTTTGGGGGTCAGGGTCAGTTTCACCTAAGGTTTGTGAAATTTGTCATCTTTGGGTGAGCAGCATGCTTGAATCCTCATCTTAGAGAGCAGCTGATGGGCCTACGAGACTTCAAGTGCTCCCTCACATTGATGCAGGGATAGAGGAAGGAAGTTCTGCATCGCCTTTGTTTTATGGTAATTATCAGGAGAAAGCACCAAGCCACTATGACTATATAGCAGCCTTTATTTTAGGTGAGTGAACATGGTTCAGAGTCTGTAGGGTTTTTTAGGTGTCAGAGTTGACTGATAGTGGAGCTAGAACAGCTAACGCTGATGCCAGACAGAGCAGTGGCTATGGTGGCTTTTCTTATGGTCTGTCATGGTTGCTCTTTGTGGCA